ACTAGTAGTAAGAAGTCTTACTGACCCCAAGTAAGTATCTTAGTAACTCAGGTTGAATGGATTGAATTGAGCGCGAGTAAGGAGAGACTAGATACATGAGATTGAGCTTTCTTTTATAACTTCTGTTTTGGTCCTCCATCTCCTTCCTTCCGTCGGTCCCTGTTGGACCTTCTTCTCGTGGTCCATACTGGACCTCCCTTCCACGGTCCTTGTTGGACTCCTCTGCTTATCTTATCAATGGACCTTCCTAAGTCACGTGACCTTGTATGCCTAATCCTGTCAATCTTGCGGGGTAGTGTTTCATCCTGTGTTGCTGTGTTGGACAGCGCTTCGTTCTGTTGGTTCGTAACATATACTTCTATTGCGAGACATATTCCTATTATATATATACCACCACGCTCGTTTTAAATGCCAAAAGTCTTATTAGTTATACAATGAGGATACGTGGTTGCTATATATCTCAGGGTTCCTATATAAGTCTTTATAAATCGTTTACAACCTCGAATAAATAATTTATATTACCAAAAAAAAACTATTATGGACCCACTATACCTGATCGCAGTACTAAAAGTTGGGTTGTAGGCCACGGAATATGTAGTATGTCGCAGGGCTATATTTATCACCTTCATCATCAGTTCCTCAAGAGGAAGAAGCCGCAACATATCAAAGATATCAAAGAGGAGAGGTTGATTAATGAAAGATAAAATCTCGCACACATCGAATGCTATTATGTGTGTTCTCTGCGTATTAATTACTTCTTATCGGCGGTAGCAGACAACAAGATTCTATATCTGTGATTATATATAGTTTGTTCTACTTGTGGAAAAATGAGCTCCTGGAGATATATCTATTCATACACAGAAATCTAATCCCGAATGCTAGGCGCTGTACCTGCATATTTGAGGAAGAAGATTATAATGACAAACGAGCTTTGGATTTACTGATTCTAACCCAGGTGAAAAGATGAAGCGGCCTCATTCATCCTGAATTTCAACTAAGACAGAAGTTCCCTCCAGATCGAATTAATAAAATTGATTCCGTCTTTCCTCCACGTGTCAGATTCGACAAAGCTCCCATTGCTGTTCAACACCATGTTTGTCGGCTTTTGCAAACTGTACTTCGGCCAAGAGGGTAATCCTCCTGTCGAGTTACCATTAGGATTGTGATCATATACAAAGTTCACGTATGCCTTTCCAATATCGAGGCTCAGATCTCTGTAGCTCTGATACTCCGGTAGCGCTCCCAGATTACCACTGATATTCTGGAAGCTGAATGCGACATTCACGAAATGCGGGATCCCATCTGTAGGCTTGGCATTCCATGCCGGTGTATCGAAGCGATAGCTGTAGACGTCTTGACCGGCGCTGGTAAAGACTTCGCAGACCTTCCTACGCTGCGCGATCATGACAAGGTCGCCTCCAATTGCCGCCGATCGCCGCCACTGGAGCCCGAACTGGGGAAAGGTTTCATTCGCTGTGATGTGATAAGGGGGTTCGCTCTCTGGGTCGTTCGGATACAGTTCCAACAGCTTGCGGATGCTAGTCGGAGAGAGTGCATATGATCTCCAAGTCATGAGGCTCTGGAAGACGGCAGTTGTGTTGTCGAGACCCTTGACGCTGAAACTAACACCTTCGTCCGTGTTGGCGCCGATCAGCAATGGAACATGTATGAACTTTCCTTCGGCAATGGAGGTTGACGGATAGTCCTGAAGGAAGTCTCCGTCCACAATGGGATTCCACACCACTGATGTGTGTGCGGCATAGAGCTCGGCAGATGAGAGATCACGCAGGCAGGCAAGCCTGTCCGTGGCAGTCCAGCAATTGACGGTGCGAGTCAAGTTCTCGAACGGAGATGCGTAGAATGCGAGGTCCGTAAGTGCCGTGCCTTCAGGTCCGCCAGACTCCATGATCGCAGCTTGGAAGAGGTCGTCATTCCTTCCGCCGTAGGAGGTCAGATGCAGACCGATCGACTGGGCACCCGCAGACTCTCCCCAGATGGTGACTCTCTTTGGATCGCCTCCGAATGCGGCGATGTTCTCGTGGATCCAGCGGAGAGCCATGCGCTGATCCAGAAGTCCAGCATTGCTGCTGCCTTCAGCGAGGATCTGCGGCGACTGTAAGAAACCCCAGACTCCGAGGCGGTAATTAATGGACACAGCGACGATGGGGCGACCAATTGTTTGCGAGGTATGGACGATGCCCGAGAGGTTGTATTGCGGGTCAGCGCTTGAGCCTGAAGATAGACCACCGCCGTATATCCAGACGAGAACGGGGAGCTTAGTGTTGTCGTAGCCGCTTGGACGGACAACTGCGCCAGTTAGCCTCGTTCATCAGCACATGGCTCTAATGACATTCTATGCGAAAGGACAGCGAAACACACCATTGAGTGTTAGGCAGTCCTCAGACAAGCTGAAGTTACTCCCGTACTGAAAGCAGCTGTATCCATATTCGGTAGCATTCCTGACGCCCGACCAGGACGTATTTAGCGACTGTGGCCATCTGAAACGAAGCGGCCCTACCGGAGACTGGGCGTAGGGTATTCCGAGGAAGGCATCTTGATCCCAATCTGGCAGATAACGGCCAACATAAGTGCCATTGATAACGGTGACAGTCGGTTCACGAGGTGCTGGAGATGCAAAGGCCCCGAGCAACAACGCCCAGACGCAGACAAGAACTCTGGAAAGGTGATCCATCTTGACTACAGTCCACGCAGATGATGATGGGGTGCAGTCGCAGGATTTATCCTCGTACCGGCCTCAAATGTGCCGACAATCGTTCTCATCGCGTCCATGGCTAGTAGAAGATAGTGAGCCGCACAACGCCTCTTGCGCAAAGGTAAAAGCGTTTTGTCGGACAAAAAGGAGAAAGCTGACTGCGGAGTGGTGGAAAATATTGGCAGGATGACTTGACTAGTACCTATTTCCGTTTGCTAGTCCGTTCATAGAATGTCCTAAAGTAATTAGCGTCTTGATCCTCTCCATTTGCGTATACATCTGTCCGCTCTCACCTTGTTGGAACAAGATATAGCGTTGAAGATTTTGCCAGCAGTACGTCATGACGAACCAGCTCACTTCAACGCATTTTGATCCGTAAGATGAGATTTTTTGGAGCTACTATATGGTTTGTCAGAGTGTCGTGGAAACTGCTCCATGCTAGGACGAGCCTAGGGCTCCGGCTTATGATCCGTGGATCGGCGTGGGCCAGTTGCGGAGAAGAGTCCGAGCAAGAATGCGGAGATGGAGAGCACAGTATAGTAGTAGAGATCAAATCGTAATGCTATGACTGCTAGCTCACCGATCAACTGTCTTTAGGCATAGAAGATTATACATGCATAGGAATTGATTGAAGAATACTTGAGCTTAAAAAGTACTGAAATAACGCATGTTTATCAATGTTTTCGTAGGACTGGCCTATCTGATGACTAATCAAGGCATAGGAGAAAGCTGACCGGGGAATCAATTAATAATCCTCCGTCTAAACATCTGCCCCGCCTGGGTTACCTTGGAAGTCCGGCGCTGGATCGAGGTCCTCTTGAGCATCGCCCAACATGCGATCGTTTGGCAGCTTGCTCGTGGCAACTAGCCTGATTCTGCATAGAGGCGCATGTCAATATTTTCCTCCAAAACCAGAAGGGGTGAGGACACTAAAGTCCAAATTCCACGATGGCGTTACGATTTCATACAAAGAAGTGGGAGTCCTTTCTGACATCTCTACCATTGCGTCCTGGTGGGCATTGCTGATCTTCGGTAGCCTGGAATCTGCGAGACAACGCCTGGCGTTCACTCCTACAGCGGATATATTCATCTACCGCCAGGCTCCTTGACCGAGAAAGGAGAGGCTCAGAACTACCCTATCAACATGTGAGCCATCCACCCCGGTTGAAAAACAGACGTTGATCTTGTCACAGTTTCTTTTGGTTCTTCGAAGCCAGAAAGGATGCGCGCAACGCCCCTCTGAGTATCTGGCTTAATGGAGGTCCTGGTAGCTCTTCTGCGACAGGCCTGCTTGCTGAGAATGGGTGAGACATTCTCGAATTCTCGACGTTGAACAATAGCTAATGCTGCCCAGTCCTTGCTTCGTTAATCCAGACTCAAAAAGCACCTCCCTGAACCCCTGGTCATGGAACAACGAGGTCAACATACTCTACATCGACCAGCCCGTTCAGGTTGGCTATTCGTACGACGTAGCGACAAACGTGACAGTGGATCGAAGTAACATGGATGACAAAGTGTCCGTGGCTGACTTCTCAGACGAAGTCCCTGAACAGAACAACACGTTCTACGTGGGCACATACGCAAGCCAGCGACAGTTTTCTGTAACCAACAGCACCAACCATTCTGCTGTCGCCCTTTGGCATTTCGCGCAGACTTGGTTCGAAGAATTCCCTCATTATAAACCTGCCAATGAGAAAATCAGTATCTGGGCTGAATCGTACGGCGGTCATTATGGACCTGCCTTCTCACGCTTTTTCAGCCAGCAGAACGATCTCATCGCCGACGGTACTATTGATGGCAAAGGAGCGCATTATATCCATCTCGACATGCTTGGACTGGTCAATCCTTACATTGACGCGTTGATCCAAGCTCCCGCGTATGCTGACATTGCCTACAACAACACGTATGGCATTGAAGCGATCAATTCCTCCACCTACGAACTTGCGATGCATAATTGGGAGAAGCCAGGTGGTGTGAAAGATTTCGTCCTAAAGTGCCGCGATCTAGCCCGCCGTTTGGACCCGTACGATTACGGCGACAACCACGAAGTCAATCAAGCGTGCTCCGCTGCCGCTGAAGCCATAGAGGAGAACCTCGTAGAGCCGTATACAAACTTTAGCAACCGCGGTTGGTTCGACATCGCCCATCCAGCAAACGACCCTTTCCCCCCACAATACCTTAAAGGCTACCTCAATCAGCGACACGTACAAGCTGCTCTTGGTGTACCTGTCAATCACAGCTCGTATTCAAGAACGGTTGCCAATGTCTTCCAGCTGACAGGGGACGAGCCCCGTGGCGGGTACCTCGAAGACATAGCGTACGTGCTCGATCACGGGATGAGAGTAGCCCTTGTGTACGGAGACAGAGATTACGCGTGTAACTGGATTGGCGGCGAGCGGGTCTCCCTGGCCATTCCGTACTGCAAGGCCGAGGCCTTCGCTCAAGCAGGCTATGAGCCGATTGTGGTGAACTCGACCTATGTTGGCGGCCAGGTGCGCCAATACGGCAATTTCTCGTTCTCGAGAGTCTACCAGTCGGGACACATGGTGCCTGCTTACCAGCCCGAAACGGCGTATAGAATCTTCATGCGCGCCATGTTTGGCAAAGACATCGCGACCGGAGAGAAGGACGTGACAGATGATTTCGCGACGAAGGGGCCGGCAGATACGTGGCATATCCGGAACGAGATCCCGGAACCGCCGCAGTCGGAGTGCTATATTCTTTCTCCCGAGGGCTGTTCTGAGGAGCAGTGGGAGGCAGTAAAGAACGGGACGGCTGTGATCAAGGATTACATTTTTCAAGGTTTTGGTGGAGATGATATAGAGAGTTTTGGCCATGAGCACGAACGTGAGGGAGTTTCTGAGCAGGTCCCCATTAATTTATGAGCCAGATAGATGTCTTTCTGTGGCTGCGGAGGCAGTCAAAACTCGCAAGCGAATTCGTTGGGTCTACATATAGATACATGCGCTGGAATATAAAAAATAAAAAAGCCAGATGATAAAGGAGGAACAGCTCAAATATAAATAATTACGTTTCGCAGAGATATATTTGCATATACCTCCTCGCATGGAAGTGTGCAAATGGCCATTATTTGCTTATGTATGTTGAAACAAGAATAATTCGACAAATTGTTGATGAGAGTAACGAGGCTCGTTTGGATGGAAAGGTTTCAGTATTTAAGAGATAGCCTATGCTATATATTTATGTCTAAGGTGCACACCTCCCAAAGGTGAAGTCACTCTCACGGATTTATATATTCTACGTCAATATTTTGGACGTTGATGTGTTTACCCTTAAGCAACATATTTTTAAAAGATATGTTTTATTCAGGGAAGATCAATCCCTAAAAACCTGTTTTTTTAAGAAAAAGACGGATTCACATAATCATGCTGGAGAAATCCCAGTGTTGCAATAAAATGGATGTAGTTGCAGAATCAATAAGAAAAAGGTGAGATGGGTACCCTCATCCTCCACAGATATTTGATTAAGAATTTTGGACTACACTCGAGCCTATGATAGGATTAGGACTTGGTGAACTTGGCTAGTTAGCATGGCTGGCTGATGAACATTTACGCGACACGCCTTCATTCTCGCTTAGTGGAACAATTGGATGAAGACTGCCAAGGTTGGAATTATTATGGACATAGGCCATCCGACACAGTTTCCAGAGCTAAAGGCAGCAGCTGTGGTTGGCTGTGCTTTCGCCGTTGATGAAGCAGTACCGGCCTAGAAAAGATGACATCAACATGACTACTGCGAAATTCGAACAATATCGAGCTTACCGTTCCTGCAGGGGTATCAGATGCTGAGCTCGCGTTGGTACTAGTGGCGTTTGAGGCTGATGATGTCGGTTTCGCAAAGGCGCCTCCAGTGCTGCTACCCGGTGAAGCAGATGTCGCAGTCGAAGCAGCTGTTGAGACAGCGGACGACGGACTTGGAGTTGCATCATCGCCGCAGTTCTTAGCCGCGGTGGTCACATCGCCTCCGTAATACTGCCAGATGTTGTAGGTCAAGGCACATTCAAGACATGCGTGGAGTTCAGAGATGAAGGTCGAATTGGAGCAGTAATTCGGGGACCGGGAGATTGCGATGACACCACCTGTGAAAGGAATCAGCTCGCTAGTCGAAATGGACAAGATCAAGCCTAGGTGAGTTGTAAGACTCATACCACAGTTCGCGTGGCATTCGTACAGTGGAGTGCCAGGCTGAATGCTTTGACGTTTCTGGAAAGTGACAGCCTCAGGGAAGACAAGCGCCCACGAGAGCGAGAGAAGAGTGGTGACCACAAGAGCGTAGGGAAGATGCATTGTGGACTGACAGTGGAGATTGTGTGAGAGGAGAAGTCGTCGATGAAGAACTTTGGAAGAAGAAGTGTTAAGAGGACTGGAAGAGATGATGGAGGTCGCAGGCAGGAGGATAGTCAGAGGAGCCAGACTGCCTTTAGTAGCTCACCTCGACAGCACCAGAACCGTAGCTATCACCTGATCTGGCGTCTACTCAACCCTGGTTGCCCAAACGATGATAGGTATAATGGCATGCCGAAGATCGGAGGCCAGCCGCCGCAATCGACGTGACTGCCGCACCTGGGCGATGTTTACAGCCTCTAAGTGGTGCTATACGGATGGAGGAAGAGCCGAAGGAGCGTCTGAAGCATCGACTTGGAGAGCTAATCTCGAGAACGACTAGTCAGGCTACGTTGTTGACGGTGTCACTTGCCCAGCTGATCTTATCAAATTAATCAGTGCGACGGGCACTCGCAGATCGTACGATTTATTAGACGCCCAGGTAGCATTGATCCTCTTTTGGCTGCTACTGACTCGCAGCGTGTCATCGGGACCGAGATGGAGACAGGCGGAGTCATTATCTCTATCCCGCCCGCCAATGATAACTGGCACAGCCATCTTATCTAATCTTATCTGATCATCTCATATGCAACTAGAGCGGCGCAGACAGAAAAGTAATCGCCCAGACCCAGATCGCGTAAGAGGATCCACGAAGGTCGTAGCAGCGAGCATGAAGTTCCAACCATCCGATGTTTGTGTTTCTCACGTTAAGTATCTTAGCTGCTCAAAGACCCCGTAGAGCCCAACAGCTACATCCTTAGAAGCTAGTCGCGCAAATTATGGCTGCGAGGTGCATTAGTTTTTGCATCTTTCTTGAAGCTATTTATTCAAGACCGACGGCAGCACAGCGGAGGTGTAGCCGATGCCAAGAGGGGCAGGTCTTCTTGACAAACCGCCACTATAACAGTGACTGTCAGCCCACGTGAGGTCCTCAAGCGGCCTTGAGACGGATATAAATCTGGGACTTCTCACCATCTGTCGCTTTTCATCCTCTCTACAACGATCATCCCATGAGAAGAACATCACCATGATCCTCTTCCTCGTGATCTACCTTTTCCCAGCGGCGCTGCTTGCGAGCATTTTTGCTCTGCATGCCAACGCTCAAGAAAGCGACGACATGGGTCCTGCAGCCTTTCTGTGGCCACCTGATCGAGCCTGGTCTGCGACTGAAGACAACACTCCGCCCTGTGGTTCCGCGGCAGGGATTACCAATAGGACGAAGTTTCCACTGAGTAAGCGATGTCTAGAGCATCCTGCGACGGTACACTGATGGCAACTAGCAAACGGCGCTGTTGCTCTCGTGCTGCAGGACGACTCATACAACATCAATCTCGCCATCTCCTACAGCAACAGTAGGTTCAAGTCCGATTTTTATCGTCGTATCCATAAAGCAAGAGCACTAACTCAATACAGACCCCACCAGCAACAGTGACTTCAGCACGATCGTCTCCTCAAAGTACTTCCCCGAACTGTACCCCGGCCACGAGTGCTATGCCGTGCCGAACCCGCCGTCGAACATTGTCTCTGGCTCCAACGCCACCCTGCAGATCCAATATGTCTCGACGTTCGACACGTCGCGCAACCAGACATTCTACGCGTGTTCGGACATCACATACGTTCCCCTGAACCAGTTTACGACCGATATCCTGTGTTTTAACGTCTCCGTTGAAGACCCGGACGTCACGTCGTCGAAGATAGGAGGTGCCACCACAACTTCGACAGGAACGTCTACGGCCCAAGCGACAGCGGAGACGTCAAATAATGGCGGTCCGCCTGGAGGAGCGATCGCAGGTATCGTCATCGGAACAGTTGTCGGAGCTTCTCTGGCCTTTGGTGCGCTCTTCATTCTGCGGCGACGTTTCCGGCAGCGTGCCAGGCGACAGAAGACTGTCCAGTTCCGGCTGAACGAATTAACCAATCCTGGCAAGTAGACGAATCTGCGAAGTCAAACGATCAGTGATAGGTAACAGAGGATGTCTGTCTGGGCGATGTGTCCTTGAAGCAGTGGCGAAATCATGATGTGTTTCCTTTGCCTTTACGTGATCCAGCGAATGTTTTAATGCTGGATCCCTATCGAAAGTTTTGAACGAATGACAGATTGTTCATTTTCCCAATTATTATCTCGATGCCGCAGTAGACTCCTTTCTCTTAGTAGCCTTCGATGATTTTTATATGATCACAAAGCTGTCGCGGGACGATCAATTCTCTCAATGTACAAACGTGGGAATAATTGATTAGCTTAAAGACTAGCTAACCTGATCTATTTCCATTACTAGTGACAACTGTTGGACATGCTTCCGACCGTGATCATCGAATAATATTCTGTGCTATCTAAGCAGAATAAGACGTATTAACGCCATGTACAGCCTTTCCACTGAAGCAAAATTGTTGGAATGACGCTAACTCTAACCGTAAGAGCAGTTGCAATGCCAGTGCTTCCATAGAAGCCGACGTTTTCAAACATCTGGGGGAACCTATTCATCGTCAGAACTATGAGATCCTCTTCATTTCGCCGTCAACGGATATTCGTTTTCAGACATACCAGAATGGACCGATAAAGCCCCAAATTTGACGAAAGAACGTGATGAAGACGCCGACACTGGCTGCCTCCTGGCGATAGCAGTCAACAGCGTAGGTGATCATAACAGTGGTAACAATCTGGTTTCCAGCAGCAGCAATCGCCACACCGACTAATGGCGTCACGTTCCACTGGTTAGATGCCTGCTCGACGCGGACAATGAACACGATGACACCGCAAATGGTGAGTATATGCCCAATATAACTGAGCCACAGCCGGAATTCCGGTGCTGTAGACGCGCCAATCTGACGTTGGCGTCTCAGCATCCACTGGTCGGATAGGATCCCCCCGACTTGCTCGCCGATCAATGAGCCGATAATAAGACTGATCGACTGCAGGCCAACCTGCTCCGTATTAAAGTGGAATTTCTCAGGGAAAGTCTGCGGGATCTCGATGGACAGCATCACGCTACCCCAGAGGAAAATCATTGCATAAGCAGCTGCGGGAATGAAGACGCAGGGCTGGACGACGAAGCTCAATGGATGCACGAAATCCCACCACGACAGAGGGGTTGGGTCGATGCGCCTGAACTGCAAGTATTCCTTTTGAAGACTTGAACTGTGGGATCTTTCGCCATCGCGCAGATAGCGAGTTTCAGGACCGAAGAATATATAGAGGACGAGCTGGACGGCGTTCGTCTGAAAGATATGTCAGCTATAAACAAATTGCAGAAAAAACCTTTTTATGGAACTGCATACACAAGCAAGGATCCAATAGATCCAACGGTATCACACGCGATCTGCCACAAAGCCAAATATCAACGGGGACACTGGGACTCCCAAGGTGACCATAACTGCCCAGATGCCCATATAACGGGCTCTTTCCTTTTTGAAGAAAGTCTCCGCCACAACAGCACTCCCGATAGCGGCTGCAGGGCTGATGAAGAACCCAGTAATCGCTCTGCACAGTCCCATCGTACCATACGAAGGACTCTTCGCGCAGCCTATATTGCCAACGAGACTGCAGATCAAAGACAGGAGAAAGATTGGTCGTCGTCCATATCTATCGGACAGCGGTCTCCAAAATAAAGGTGCTCCGCCCAGGATGGCAATGACAAGGGACGTCAAATAGCTCACTCGCTGGACACTGACGTGCAGATCCTCGGCAATGTTGACGAAAGCGGATTGGATGGCTGCGGCGGTAAAGGTGGACATCATTGCGTGAAAGCGACCAAGGCGAGGTTGACCACTTTCTGCAAGCGGAAAGAAAATAACTCATGTAAGCAGGAGATCATTCTTCACGCGTCGATAAAAGACAGGACAGACCTTCCATGTGGGCCAATTGTATGGGTCTGCATCGCTCATGTCTGGAATCGGATCCAGATCTAATGTGCCATGTCGACGGAGGAGGTATTGCTGATGCTCAGGTGAAAGACGAGCAATTTCATCTCGCAACGTCGGAGAGGCTTCGATGGCATTTTCGTCTTTCTGCGGAAGTTTGGCGCCATTTCTGTGGTATTCTTCGTGTTGAACCTCGACTTTGTCCATGTTGCTAGGCTGCCAGCCTCCGTAGGCTTGTGGTAATGCGATTTGCTCCGCCAAAGAGAGCGAGAGACAGCTGGGGTTGATTTAAATTAATAAACAAGACCGCAGAAGGATTCGAATATAGGCAATTCCGTTGTGCAGCAGATTAACCCTCCTAGCGATCATAAGCGAGTCCTGCCTCAAATAATTTCAATACGAGGACGCAGCCCCGAATCCCCGGGCCCAGATGCGGAAATGCAACCCCCACCTACCTGGATGAATAGGACAAATGGTCTAGATCCGGAGTAATCTTTAAAAACCCGGGTCCATGAGAGCGCCAAGACCGGGGAATCCGGGGGAGGGTCGGGTTGTGGATCGTTCCCTGTGGATTTGCGTCTGGGGTAAATTGTGGGGATTGTGGGGAGATCTCTGTCCCACGAGGTTTCGCGTTCTTAGATAGCTTCAACTCGCACTCTTGATGTTCCAGATGGATTGTTCGAGAATATTACCTCAATTCTTTAGTATCAAACATTCTAAGAACCGGGTAGTTTACAACCTATTGACTTATATTTACTGTACCCATTTGTTAATCGTGCTCAAGACACATGGAAAAACGATGATTCATCAATTAAACTATAATCTTCTGACGACAAGCGGAAATGTTCTTTACCGCATACTTTCCGATGAACCTTGAGCGCTGGTTATAGCAGCACCCCTCTGTGGGGGTGCGCGCCACCCAGATCTGAGGTCGTGGGGACGCGTTCCGGGGACATTATCGTTGTCATCATCATCTCCTCGACTTGGCATATACGTGGGATTAAAACAGACCAATTATTGCGGTTTCTCCATAGATATCAGTTAGGAACTTTCTTGGTGGTGAGTGAGTAATGGAACGTCGCTTTTTGCTGTTCAAGAACTTGATTACTTGACGCATAGCTCATTCAGGGCTTACAGATAGAAATCGTCGATTTATCAATTGAATAGAATGTGACATCGAATATTTATATCTGCACCATTTCTTCATTGAATCCACAGTATCAAAAATATTTATTCACTGACACTTCCAGATAGTTCCAACTACGAAGCTTTGCTTCTTTCCCGAACTCTCACTAGCAAAGGCCCTTCCAAATCACTAATGCCCACGCTCATGAGTGCCGGAACCTTCCCCCGATACAGTCCTTTCTTCACATCCAGTCGCACTTTCTCGTCCGCCAGCTCAAACTCGAACTCGCGGAGCAGCGTACTCATCAATTTGTAGATATTGGTCGTTGCGACATTTTTGCCGATGCACTGGCGTCCTCCTAGGCCGAAATGCATCAACAGTTTGGACTTCTCTGCGATCTTGGGGTCTTTCCACCGCGAAGGGTTGAAGACGTTGTGATCAGGGCCCCAGACGTCGGGATTATGGTGGAATGCGTGATTGCAGACTGCCACAGATGTCTAAAAAAATTTGTTAGAGCTGTATTATATATAACGAAAGAAGAAGGAAAATGGGACGACCGCACCCCTTGTGGAATGTGATTCCCTGCAACAGTGATTCCCTCTGGCGCTAGAACGCGTCTGGCAAGTGGCATGGTAAAAACAGGTGTGATACGGAAGTTCTCTCGTATGCAGTCGCGCAAGTAAGGCAACGACGCCTCGACGAGACTGACAGGGTAGGCCGGTTGATCAGGTTCCAGGGGAGGGAGGTTGGCATCGATCTCAGCCACACATTTCGCCATTATTTCGGGGGCGTGAAGGAGGTGGTAGAAAAGCAACGCTGCAGTTGCTCCTGTCGTATGGGTTCCCGCAATGCTGGGAAACTCCATATCAGTCAGGTTCTTATGTCGACCATTTATTTCATATATATACTCACATGAATCCAAATGCTTCAGTCTCCAGGTCAGTTTTGGTCAGCCTCTCGCCAGTATCAGGATGTTTCGCCAGGATAAGATTGGTTAAAATATCTTTCCTCTCCGTAGCAGCGATCCCGTCCTTCTCCGCGTTTTGCATTATTTCGAGTCTTCGCTGAACGCATCGTGAGGCTAAATCTGCGCATGCCTGGCGGCCCTTGAATAGTTTCTGCAAGCCTTGATGAGGGACCAGAGGGAGCCATCTTTTCAGCCTCTCCGTCATCAAGGGCCAGGAACCAGTAACGGCGGCTAGCAGACTATGCTCTATAACTGGGGGTACCAGCGACTCATCGTCAGCAAGCTGCACCCCGAAGGACTGGCTAAAGGCCAGTTCTCCAAGCGTATCGATCACGTAGTAATGCAAGGCCTTTTTCAGGTCAAACACTTCGTGTTTAGCCGCATACGCTCGGAGTTTGTCCTTGAGTATTTTGATATTGAGATCAAGATATTGCTCCATTTCTTTGACGTAGGAGATGGAAAAGCTGTGAGACATATGACGCCTTCGAATTGAGTGCAACTGTATTCACTGTCAGCATGTGTGACGGCTGGTTTAGTAGCAATCTCACGGATACTGTGGATACTGACGTCCTCGTCTCTCATACCGAACACGTTGGGATGCGCCGCGCCGTACGCATCATAGAACTCGGTCTTGGGCATCATCCTCGATCCTTTTTGGTAAATGAGCGGGATTGAGCTTTCGTCGGTTATGCTGAGTTTGTCAGGGCCATAGCGAACAATCGGGCCGTATTTCTCATGTAGTTCGGTCAGATGGTACGGTTGCTTCAGAGTCATGAACTGATGGACCTGCCACAGATCCGTGAGAGATGCCAGGAAGGGGCCGGGATACTTGGCCAACGGGTGCAGGAAACGTTGATAAATGATGTATACGAGGAGCGCCAAGAGGCACCCTCCGGCGACGGGGGACACAGGATAGGCTACAAGCTCTTTCAGAAACAAGAACATGATTCACACACAGCTTTCTTGATATCCACTGCAAAAATCCCTGATCGATGACAGATGCTCGCCATGAAGCAGGCTGATATATGCTGGCACCTCTTTTACATTGAAATTTCTGACCAATCGGGTTGGTGCTTCCCGGGAACATCTCCACGGCATCGGGAAGGAAGAACCCTATTGGTCCATTTTTGCATTTTATTTTCCCCCGCATTTTCCCCGCAGGAATTAGAAGTGTGGGGAGAAGCTTAGATAGCGCCACATCCAGTGGATAACTCGTGGCCATCGACCCGATAACAGCTTCCATCCAAAGCAAGTAAACTATCATGCTACTTTGCCGTCGAGAATGGCAGACAGTACAGGAAGATCGCAGAATATGCTACTGGCACGAGTTCCCAAGCGTCGTCGAACAGAATTGGCATGCACGCATTGCCGGCAGAAAAAAAAACGTGTTGAATTTCCCACTGTTCAACTCAATTCTTTTGCATGGAAAAGCTGACAAGTATTAGTGCGACGGAGCTCGGCCAGAATGTTCATCCTGCCAAAATCTACGCCTGCCGTGTAAATTTGAACGAAGTTCTCAGCAAAGACCTGCAAAATGCTGCAATGAAAGGTAAACAAACGAATTAATATCCTTTAATGGCACGGTATATCTGGCTCATTATGGACAGTTCGCACGCTCAATTGTTGGAACGGATCAACGCTCTGGAAGCCCAATTATGTTCTCTCTCTCGTGGCTCACAGGATAGAAATGCCAGCGAAAATCGAGAAGCCGGAAACAATATTCCAACAGGAATTAGAAATCCCCGGAAATCTCAGATAGAGGGTCCAGCGCAACAGAATTTAGAAGACGGGCAGATTGGCCGGACGATTGAGGATGAGATCACAGTAGATGAGCTGGCAACGGCCACGTTCGACGATGAACCACAGAATAATGTTGGATTCTTCGGTATGCTGCCTGTATCTATCCTGCCCCGATGTTACTTATAAAGTACCAGGACCGTCTTCGAATCACTCTCTATTTCGTTTCTTTTCAAGACTATTCGCACAGATGACACGCCTCTATGCTCCAACACAGTCACCCGACTGGAAAGATTGGGTACTGAATCAACAACAGAGAAAGGATTCTCCTTCGTCTACCAGAGGTCTAAAACCGGCGCAATCAGAACAGAATATTGTTGGCGAAGATATCTATTCGCTGCCTGCTAAACAGGAAGCCGTTATCCTTATAGACAGATTTTTTGCTACAACTGCGACAGTGTTTCCCTGGATCAATAAGTCAGCATTGCTATCGCAATATCATCAAGCGCGAGGACAACGTCCACCCCGTTTCCATCGCGCGTCCCTCGCCTTGCTGAACATTATTTGGGCACACGCTTCCAACTCGTCGCATGCTGCTCGCGCAGAGAGGTTCTATCAACGGGCGTCAGCTTTACTGGATTCAAAGACTCTGAGAGGATCGAGTGTGGAACTAGGTTAGAAAGGAGAAATCCACGCATCCAATCATTTTACTAATGTATATCCAGTGCAAACGCTTCTTTTGATGGTTATCTATCAGCAAAACCACCAGCGGTCAGTGACGAGTTGGACAATTCACTCGCTTACCGTGAAGGCTGCGTTGCAAATCGGCCTCCATTCGCCTGTCGCCATCGACGATGTTGGCCAGGAAGAGAGTGCCCTAAGGAGGAGACTGTGGTTTGCAGTTTTCAACAATGACCGGTTAGCAAGACGCTTCCGTTCCGCCTATACAGAGTCTGATAACAGTTTAGGATGCTTTCCATGACACTGGGCCGACCTCGACTTCTCCCGCAGCACCTCGTTCGCATCGAAAATACAGAGACTCCGAGCCAAACTGCCCAAGCACGAGGTACTGCTGTCGGGGTCCTTGACAGCAGTGCATATATCATGTCTTTCACGTATGCCCGTTTCTCACGCGTCTGGTTGTGCGTATTGAGTTTCGCTCACGTCCTCTGTAGATCGTCCTGTCACATCCTAGGATCAGTAATCGAGCTTCTCTACGATGACAATGTTGAAGGCCCACACCTATCTGATGTGTACAAGCTGGTCAGCAATCGACTTCAGCTATCATGCCAGCTGGAAGAATGGCGTCAAAGCATCACGTCTTTCGGCGGCCTTGTCTCGCCCTCCGAGCTCAGCCCCGATCCGCCCATCATGCACGACAGTACGCTGCGACTACGGATTCTTCTGACGATCCAGTACTATCGCATCGCGATGCTCATCAATTATCCTATTATTGCGGCTCTTTTGGACCACTGTGTCAAGAAGACGAACAATGAACCAGCTTCTGAATTTCTCCGCGAAGCCGCGACACCAGTCGTCAAGAACGATTTGCTAGCAGCGAAGGAGCTTTGTCGAATTCTCCATACAGTTACCAAACCTGCAGCACTGTTTCTCGATCCTACTACCGATTGGTGGACTTGTAACTACACAAGTCAGTAAAACATCCAGCTCAATCTCCCACAGTCAGTAGTGCCTATATCTGGAAACTGCTAACCTGTCACGATTGCTTCGACAGGTCTAACGGTGAGCCTACACTTATTCGGCATCCTGCTTACGTGTTTGCTCCTCAACGGAAGTCCACCCGATATCGATGTCGCCGACGTCCGATCCTCCCTAGACCTGAGCCTTGAAACCTTACGGATGCTCGAGTCGACTAGTCTCATGAGTCAAAAGTCTCGTCGCTGTCTTGCAAGACTGGTGGATGCCTTTGATAAATTGAGTAAGCTAGAAGAGGGAGAGAATTTCCCTCTGCTTTGCTGTGAATTCCAGTGACTTTTAGCTACTCAGCGACTAACTTCGAAACTACTCACCCAGGCGACGGGAACGGGCGAAAGACAGGTCTTCCAACAACAACAACAACAACGACAACAACAACAACAACAACAACATCATCATCATCATCATCATCATCATCATCATCATCATCATCATCATCATCATCATCATCATCATCATCAACAGACATGACCACGGAGAATTTCCTACTACAGTTTATCGAGCAGTCGGCCGACGACTTTCTTTTCCAATGTAGCCAGAACGACTTTCTCAATTCGGACTTGTGGGCAGATATATAAAAATAAACTACGAGGACGCAGGTTAATTATCTAGGTGTACAGTACAGTGATGCAAACAATAAAAATTGTATGACTAAAAATACCAAGCAAGTGTCAGCGTCGCTTCTGGGCCTGCAAGAAGGCGTCAGTAACCCTCCATCCCAATTCGCAAATTTCACGGCCATTCCTGGTCCGATAAAGATCCACAACGTGACGACTGCGGCGCAATGGGCTTCGGGCCTCGAATCGCCGAATCAGATGTTTCGGTATGATCCACGTTTAACTCTTTGGTTATTCCACTAACAGCAGACAGGGTGATGTTCTCCCACCACACCGTCAAACCAGTTGCGGATGTGCTGTACTCGTTATATCAAGACTGGAAAAATGCCGTCGACCAGATCGCCGATGTTGAGGGTCTCTATCCCACATTTGTGACGAACATACTGCCGCGAGGCGCGGCACGAGTGGGCAAGACAAACGGAGTCGGCAACGTGTGGGATCTGGATGATAACCAGGCTTGGATTCGTAAGTAGCCTTTCTCCTGCTGTCTTCTTATTTTTTCTATCCCTTTGGAAAGGATGAGTCCTGCTAATAGATCTCTGGATCAGTCTGGCAATTCAGCACCGGCTGGGCGCTGGCACAGGACGACCTCCGAGTTGAAGCTTAGTCGCGGCAGCTGATCACTCATCTCCATGCCGAAAACAGAGCAAAGAACCTGTCCTCGGAATTCATATACATGGGCGACGCGGGTGAATGGCAGGACCCTTATGCTGGATTCCCGCCGGCGAACGTGGCGCGGTTGCGAGCTATCAGAGCGGCGTATGACACCGACGGAGTCTTCTCGAGATTGAACTGGGGAGGGTTCAAACTGGGGCTGTAAGGAAAGGCCTTGGAGGAAGAATGAATGTGAAGAGCACACGATGGTGCAGATGTCCGAGCCCGCATCCCTTTCTGTATATAAGCGTTGCCATAGGAAAAGTTGATATGTCTGATCCAGGTTATCGTAATACTATAATTGAGATGATGTTTTGGATAGAATTGATATTCTATTTCTTCCAGGAAGATGAATGTGGCCGCGCAGTTAAGCGAAACCACATAAACAAGTCTCCACTGCTATCACGCAACAGTATAACTTCCAGTACAAGGACGCATTTCATCCACGTGAAGCATGGGTTATATATTCAAATTCCAATTTTGCATGCAGATTGGTAATTAGTACTATATAAATTGAGATAAGCCAGATCTACACTACATAAGAAATTTCCAATACCGCATTGAGCGCTCCAAACAAGACTTGATTTTCGAATCGAACAAGATTCGATTCGTCACACTTGCATATGCTCTTGCGCATGATCTTATACCGGCGAGCAAAGTTTCTGGACAGAACGGCGTCTGAATGTCATGGGACGTGACTATGAGGTTTCAACCGGCCTAGTGAACACATGTCCGTATCAGCTATCCATGGTATTTATACAGAAAAAGTAAGAATCATACCTTGCGCTGGGCAATCAGTCTCTTTCGCTCCACCAGAGGAGTCGGATCCATGTACGAATGACTGTAACAGATTTTGTCCTCTCCAACCCTTTCCAAACACTGTCAATGCGCGCAAACTAATTTCCTCTTCTTCTTTGTCATCATCCTTGATAATATAAGTTACCACTGCTCCGTGATAAACCTTATCAGGGAGGACATCGATAGTTGTAATCGCGTGTCTCATGCTCTTCAGCTCAGAAAACCGCTGGGCGAAAAACGCCTCTACCTCCCCTCTGCCTTTTGCGACAGGAACTCCAGCAAATTAAAGTTCAGCGTCGTCAGTCCAGTAGGTTTCTACCCATGACCTTGCGTCCAAAGCGTCAGCCGCGGCGTAGAATGCTTTCAGCCAGTCTTGCGTGCTTTGAGGGTTGGCTGCCATTGTATCAGCCAAAAAGAAATATTGGTAAGAAAGAAAAAATGAAGTCAGAATTACAATTCTATGATTCCATTGAATACCTGAATGCTTTTATTAAGCTTCCTTAGGGTCATATCAATACATCGGAGATGATTGGATTTGTTTGGATTGGTCCGCGTCAACCAACGACTTCCGAAGTCCGACATGTCATGTCACGACCGGCATCTCAACTCCGAATTCCCAAGTGTGCACTCTGCTTCTTATTTCATCTTCGGGCCATTATTATTATTCTTGTTTGTTCTTAGCAACTTCAAGTCACTGCACCGAACTCCCGCGCAAATCGAGTACCATGGAAAATCGGAGTTCGGAGGTGCACCAGCCAATTCGAAGTATTATATTTGACGAGTCAGCAATCTACTTTTTTTAAGAGGGTAGTTTATTTTGTTGGATAAAATATCTATTCTTTTTTTTTTGCCTCTGACAGGCATTGGTAATTACGAGACTCTTGTGTTACTTATTATGAGGACGCGCTGACACACTGGCCAGACACAGACCTCTCTGCTTTCCATCAACTCTACAAAAATGACTCAACGCGACCTAAACGCCGCTGCTCATGCATGGCTATCCGATTTCCATACATATAACGACTCGCTCAACCCCGCAGTTTCAGTCCCAAAGTTCTTCACAGAAGACTGCGTGATGCAGTTTCCGGGACAACCCACGCTGAAAAGTCACGCCGCAATTATCGATTTCTTCACCAAACAATTTACCTTGTTGGAGAGCATGAAACATACCATCAAGCATGTTGATGTGCTTCCAGACCGGATTTACCAGGAAGCTTCCATCTCATACGTTGTGAAGGGCGACCCGGAAAAGAACCCCGTTGAGATTCAGGGGTTGGCGGTATTTGGGGAAAGGACAGATGAGGATAGGATGAACTTTTTTACTGTGTATCTGGATCCAACGCCTCTCGCTAAAAGGATTGAGAGTGTTGTGAGCGGGAAAACAGATTGATGCAGTAGGTGGCAAGGAAGGATGACTGTATTAGGAACTCGAGTATCTAGGTAGAATCTGTCTAACAGATCACAAAAAAAGAAGGAAGAAAGAAAGAAAAAAAGAAAGAAAAGTTTTTAGGCGTTGCCTACTTCCTGAATATTCTTGTACATGTACATAGCTGTTTGTATACATAATATGACAAACCCTCAAGACTGTAACTAAGAGTTCCTGGGAACGGGCAAGCTGGTCGTCGACCTGGGAGCATCTTATGCTCGACCAGGTCAGAGATGATACCCCGGAGACACTGCCGGATCCTGTCGTTTTTGTCTAGGCGTGAGCGGAAGTAAGTACAGTGTAGTGTAGGAATGGGAGGATTTGGTAATTTGTAGCGAGTTCTGATATGCGATGAATATATTTCTGTTGTCCTTGCTATTAATTACCAATTCCGATATAACTCTTTCTCTGTATATATGTATATAATATGGTTCTTTCTCAGCTCGCTTGTTTGTATATAATTCACAATCAAGGAATCTGCATTATATACGACTACATGAGAGCCCATCTGTCTGAAAACTCGAAACCATCCACCCGTTCCGCAGAGAATAGTCCTTCAACGGCGTGGTTCCATGCAAGTCCTCGTAGTGCGTTTCCCCACTACACCTTCCTTTAATGCATGACGCGATTTCGGTGCCGACGAGCTGTCCCTCGTACCACGCGCCCTGCAGGAACCCAAAGTATTCGGCGCTGGTGGCCTCGCCAGCAAAATACAGCCGGCCGACGTTGGCGCGCAGGTTCTGGTGCATCTCGAGCGTCACGTCCTGCGGCCAGTTGGAGTAGCTGCCGTACGCCCACGGCTCCAGGCTCCAGCGCGGATACATGAAGGCGATCGGATCGGGGACGTTGTCGGCGCCGAACATGTCGCGCAGCACGGCCAGAACTTCCTGCTTGGTCACGTCGTCGCTCTGCTGCTCGACGCGGTAGGACTCGTCGTGCACGACCGTGACGAAAATAATGCCCGAGCCTTCCAGGAACCCGGGGGTGTCGAGCGACTGCCACACGGGGTAATAGCCTCGCGTGTCGGGATCCGCGTACAGGAAGTACTGCGTCGACTTGTCCCAGAAGACCTTGTCGGGCGGGAACTGGAGGAAGATCTTGGTGTAGGTGCCCATGGCAAAAGTCTCAATGCCTTGTTGTTTCCAGTCCGGAAACGGGGGTTGGAAGTCGACTGCGTCCTGCTGTAGGACTCCGAGGCTGGATCCTGTCAGATCGGATATGTCCCAGATCCGGTAGTATTCACTTACGAGAAAGTGCATATGGCGTAGTCCGCGCGGATGCAGCCTCCGTTCTTATCGTACACCGTGACGCCTTTATCGTCGTAGGTTACGTTGGTGATAATGGTGTTCAAACGCAGCCGCGAGTCGTTCTTCGCCAGGAACGTGCTGACCTCTCCTTCGAGCCAGGTACTGAAACCGCGCTGGTCAATGACAAAGTTGTTTTCATCAGACCATTGGTAGAAAGTGGTGTTCTTGACGTGGTATGAGCCAGCTGTCATTCGATATCAACTGTGCGATACACTCACGTAGTTGACGATGCCAAAAACCTGGGAGCTCAGCTCGGGTTCCCACGCGTATTCCCAGTCTGTCGACTCAGTAGAGATTCTCAGTAGCAGCAGGAGATAGTTCATGACATACCCCACTCCCACCATTCAACCGCCTGTTTTCTCATGTTCTTTTTCGGCTTCCAGCCACTAAGACTCAGGCCAGCCCGGACACTGCGATCTTGGAGATTCTCCAGGAGGATCGTTCCTGCATCCTGCTCTAGCGTCGTATATGCGTTCTCGAATTCGTCGATCAGATCGGTATAGTCGTGCGCGCCTGTCTCGTCGAATGTAGCGATGGAGCTATAGTTTGAATATGTGTTCTTGACGTGGTATTTCTGGGCCTGTTCGGGCGTCAGAAAAAGCGACAAGGGGGAGACAATCACATACAAGAGTCCAGATGGGATTCTGGGGGCCACCAGGCGTTCCAAGGCCCTGGATCTGCTGTCTGTCAGCACATCACTACCCAAGATCCTGTCTGGCTACGAGAGAATACCCAATTCGCTCCCAGTTCGACGGTGAACGGATGCCCGTTTGCATCCTTGCCGAAGGACGTATGTTTCATCCTGCCGCCGATCTCGGAATTGTACTCGACAATTATAAAGTCATGGATAGATTGGTTGCTCAGTACTTGCTTTAGGTCGTTCAGTAAGACGCTACAATAATTCTCCAAGTGCAGAGACCTACCGCTGCAGTAATACCGGCGACGCCTGCACCGCTGAGTATAGCTGTGAGTTTCTGAAGCTAGCGACAGGGAAGTCGAGAATGCAGCTTACAGGATGGCGACTTTCGTCTGCTCGCATGTTGGCTGCGCATCGCTAGGAACAGGAATGGCCAGCGCAGAACGCAGCCAGAAGGCTATGGCAAGCAACGTTGAACTAGTAAGCATCATTGCGTACCGCAAGCGAGTCGTCGTCGAACATCTAACCTCTCCATGTAGTCCTTAATGATCTCATCACTTCGAGAGCCCCATCTGGAGTATATATAGGCTACATATTAGTGACTTAGTTTACATGCTGCATGCATGGGCTGGCTGAAGAACCAGGACCATGCTGATAGCATGAGCATGGAGAGTGGGCCACTCGGGGCTCTCGGAAGGCTCAGGAATTCGATATCACTCGTCCCCATGGCCAGCAAACTCAGCTGTATCGCGGAGGTCGCATCGATTCTTCTTGACTGTGACGAGGGTGAGTAAGCGCACGTAGATAGTTAGGCTGGCAGGCTTATCAGCGGCGTTGAGGGGCCTAACTGAGAAAAGCAAGTGCTTGCGTTAGCTGCGTGATGAGATAACCTAGCGTCGATGTACTGTACAGGTGAAGTTCGCGGAGAGTATTCTGCGTCGCTATTTGATTCCAGCCAAGGATCCTAAATCATCGTACCGTCTTCTCGTTGATTGATTGCTTCACTTGCCTGCGTGTCGTGCTTGGCTGCAGAACGAAAGAAGGTTTCCCCGGAAAAGCAGGGGTATCAGCGAATCATCGCCCCGCAGCAAGAATTAATAACCTTGACGATAACTGGAGAAACTATCTCTGGCCAAGCACACAGAGAAATCCCTGAACAAGGTGCAATGTCGGGTAATTCATCTTTATTATAGTGGTACAGCAGCAATTGTGGCTGTGGCTTGGCTTCAGTAAATTCATATTCTCGTATATTAAATATGCGATTTATATATTTATGTCGGGTAAATTGTTGAACTGAATATGATGGAAACGGTGTTAGAATAAAAATAGAGGGGGAATATTGCGTTTCAATACGAGGATATCAGGGGTTGCAGTCCTTACGGTATCAGTATGTCCTTTTTATTTATTTATTCACTGATTCATGTCCCTTTCTTCTCTGACTCCTTTCCATTTCATTCTGTCCCCCACCTGCATCCCCTCTAATTTTTTTTTCTAATGTGGATTACTTACTCAATCTGATCGTAATTATGTTGACCACTTAGAAAAAAGGAAGAGAAAGAGGGATTACGGTTAGGCAGAAAACGAAAGAGAGAAGAAACTACGAAAACTTGGTTATATTCTATATAATTACAGGCATTCAGCGGCAGTCACTGCCTACCTCCCCTAACCTCCGACAACACCAATAAACAAGTCTACCGCCGCTTAGGGTTGGAAACCGTGCCCGGAGGAGGAATCACGCCAGGACCAGTCTTCGAGCAAGCCAGCGCCTCGGTCGTGTTTCCGGGAGCAGCCAACTTGGGCATCGTCTTGAACGTCGGCTCCTGCTTCTTGAGGGCCTCCATGTCCAACATGTCCAGCAGGTCGTTGGCGTTGGCATCGCGGTACGTGAACGACGGGAGATTCCACTTGCGCTGCAGGGTCGCCAGAACCGAGGTGTGGTCGTACAGCACATGGCTCACGTACTTGCCGGCCTTCGCGTACGGAGATACCATGACTGCCGGAACGCGGAAGCCGTACCGGGCAAATCCTTCGTACTGATACTCGCCCGGCAGGACGGTCGGGGGCACGTCGTCCGGCTTCAGCGCCGGGGGCGGGGGAACGTGGTCGTAGTAGCCGCCGTGCTCGTCGTAGGTCAGGATGAAGAGGGTCTTGAGCCAGAGCGGCGACGCGCCAATGGCCTCGACGACATCAGCCAGGAGCGCCTCGCCGACAACCATGTTCTGCGGGTTCTCCTGCGACTGGTTGGCGTAGTTGGGGTCGAGGAAACTGAAGGCCGGCAACTTGCCCGCGCGGGCGTCGACCATGAATTGCGACAGATTCCTGACGTTGCGCACCTCGCTGGCGTAGTCGTTGGCACCGTAGAAGTCCGGAGTGGCGCCGCTGATGGTGGTCCAGTCGGCGGCGTAGTTGAGCCAGGAAATGTTGTACTTGTCGAACTCGTTGAAGATGGTACCCGCGGGCGCATAGCCAGCAGTGATGTCACTGTTGTCATCCGTGAGGCCGCGGGAGGTTCCAGCGATGAGGTAGCGGCGGTTCGGCCAGGTCTGGGCCAGGACGGAGCAGAACCAGCGATCTGCAATGGGGAATTGCTCGGCCAGGCTGTAGGTGAAGGGCAGATGCTCCGCGGTGTAGTAACCCATGGCGACGCCTCCGACGATCTCCGGGATGGTCGGGCTGATTTGGGTGCGCACGAAGCCGTCCATGCTGCCGTTGTTGTAGGCATTGTGGCTGGCCATCCACTCCTGGCTGGGTCTCTGAGGCAGCTGGCAGGTGTTTGGCATGGGGAAGGCGTGCTGGATCGTGCCATTGGGGTAGGGATTGGTGTTCAGGGGCTTGCCGTCGGGGCCCTTGGTGAAGCCGTCACCACGGCTCAGCATGCCGAAGATGTTGTCATAGGAATGGTTCTCCAGCATCAGGAAGACGATGTGCTCGATCTCGGGAATCGTGTCCGTCCCCGGCGGCAGATCAGGGAACGGCAGAGTGCCAGGCTGGCGCAGCGAGTCACGGCCCAGGGCCTTCAATGCCGCATCGATGCTGGCATCGGACTGGAAGGAGACATTGTATTTGGACGCCGCTGCCGGCCCAACGACCGCAGTGAGCAGTGCGAATGCTGCCGAAGGAGAAACGCGCATAATGTCAGCGACAGGAAACAGCGAATGCCCAAACAAACGGCAGATGCAAGACACTGTCAGGACACACTGTACCTTCGTTCAGCCCATGATTCCAGACCCTTTAATAGCTACGAGCGTGAAGCTGGCAGCTGCCACGTGGTTGCTAGTGGACAAGCAAGTGCGCATGGGCCTTCGATGGAGGTGATGCACATGGGCAGAGCGTTGAGTCGCATTGGTGGGAGTTGAGATGGTTTTATTTTCCGTGTCGTGGAGAGTCGGATGCTGTTAGACTGCGCGCTGTCCCTGCCATTGGGCGATGTTGCCAAGCACCGCGACATCCCGGCAGTTGGGAAGCTCCGCCACCCGGAAGCTTGAGTGCAGTCCCGACAGCTGATTGGCCCAGTCATTCTTCCCGAAAGGAGTTACCAAATCGGTTAGTTCGGAGTTTCTGCGGCAGATGCAGCTTTCCCAATCAGGAAGGCCGTCTAACGACCTTCCACATCGAGCTTGGAGGGAGGAAGAAATAGCTAAGCTTGGCCTAGGGTTTGCACATAATTCTCCGGTCCAGCTGTGAATCTATCGTCTGAGTATATTCTGTTAAATTGGAGTAAAACTCATCTTCGTCTTCGAAAAAGCGTAGTAATACAATGACGAAGCAGATACGGCACATTCAACAGATATCAGAATTTTCCATTATCTCACCAAGTCCGTCAGCTATTTGCTCTCTCGAGAAACAAAACCGAAACCAAACCCGAAGCTTCTCTGAAACATCCAGATCGGTGGGGCTCGCGTCCCACGTGGATGGATCGATCCGCCAAGCACCCCGAGCACGTGGCACAATACTCAAATCCGGTGAGACCGGCAAGATCAAGCTCTCTGCCTGTCATTACTCTCTAGGCCTAGATAAGTAGCTAGCTGGATTGCTGTCTTGAACGTATGACTGTCAGAAATTGCTAATGGGATCAAACGGCTGCTAAGCATAGTCAGATGCAGGGTAATAGCTGCGTCTCTATCCTACCTGGGAGAAAGAAAAGATGGTAGTTTTATTATCCAATATTCCCTAGGACTATATATATTACGGTTTAATTCTATGATTTTCCACGTAGCGTCACGATTTCATCATACATAGCAGTATCCTACACCGTGCAACTGGCAAGGTGTTTCGAAACACAAAGTAATCGACTCGTAGGAATCTAAGAATATTGTATCAGGCTTGCCTTGAATATTTGCCATATGACACAAGGAGAGACAAGACTATAATTCAGAACACCAGATAATACAATCTGAGGGCTCGATAGTTTCTAATGTAGTACAGTATATTGCCGCTTTGTGGGAAAAAAAAGAAAGAAAGAAAGAAAGAAATTCATAATATAGCCAAAAACATCCTTGCTCAGCATACACCTGTCGCGATATATATCAATCTTGAGTCTTTCTTGAAGAGGAACTAACTACTACAGTCAGTCAAAAGTACTACTGTACAGTTAATCGCTACTGTACAGTTAATCGTCTTACAAAAGGCATTGATGTCGCTAAATGATCGTCTATCTATCATGGTTACCGCACTACATACGCGGTAAAGCAAAGCTGCCTTTTTCTCTCGATCGAGATCGATTCGCTCGTCTCTCCTGGACTGCGAAGTTCAAGGATGCTGCTTCAGAAGCTTTCAGGTCGTCACGTGTATGGGCAATAAGTTTTCTTCCCTCTCTCTTCCCTGCTCTTCTAACTAAACAGGTTGACGAAACTCTTTACTAACAGCGATCAACTCAGTTTTGCACTTCCAAAAGTGAAATGTGCGACTCGACAATTGATTTTTGATGACATATCGAGCCCTACCTACCCCTTCTGTGAAATCGAGGAAGCTCCCTCATCGATCAACTACACCAGAGCGTCGCTAACCACGATCGCATTCGACAGTCCTGGCCAGATCTACAGTAACTCGAATACAACTCATACAAATAATTGGAATGCTATCTGGTCCAGACGTCGAATAGAACAGACAGGCCGAGGACGAAGACATGGAACAGTGTAAAGTACACGGGCGGCTACATGCTCAGCATCGCCTGTCCACTAGGGCAGCCGCTCGATGGACACTAACGTCTGCTTTACTAGCCGACGGGGTATATGAATAGCAATGAAATGAGCTCCATCACAGTAATAACATACGTTCCGGAATAGTTGCATCTCTCTGCGGTGGTTTCCTAGTCGCTGCTGCTGCTGCTGGAGCTTGAGGAGCTAGAGCTGTGTCGGCTGTGACCGTGCTTGTGCTTGTGCTTCTTGTGCTTCTTGTGCCTAGCGAGAATAGTAAAGAGTTAGAAACGGCGATCAGAAAATGTGCAAAATTGTCAGGACGCACTTCTCATGATGCTTCTCGAGCATGTTCGCCCCAATGGCACCGAGCACTGCCCCGCCAACTGCCCCTAACGTCCCTCCTCCAAGCTTGTGGCCAGCAAAACCGCCACCTGCCGCGCCTAGTAACGACGCACCAAGACCCTTTTCGCCCTCCTGTCCACCAGGTCCACCGGATCCGCCAGGATAAGCTTGTGCATGACCATGAGGAGGCTGGGAGTTGTAGTATGAGGCGCTTTCGCCCTGGTGAGGGGCCTGTTGTTGCGGATATGACGAGTGACCACGCTCCGACGGATATCCAGATTGTCCACCCTGACCATAGTCATAGCCACCTGGGCCTGCTTGAGGTCCGCCGTATGGTGGTGCATAGCCTTGTTGACCGTGCTGAGGGGGCGGCGAGGAATACTGCGGCTGCTGATGGGAGCTGTACGGCGGTTGCGACTGCTATGCGTAACAAGCGGTTAGCTCATTGCGCCAATTTCCTCGTTGATGAATCAAATTCCATTCACACTGCACTCACCTGCGGCGGATAATAGCCCTGTTGCGGGGGCGCTCCATACTGGCCCTGGGGAGGAGGATAGCCTTGCTGACTGCCATTGTAGCCGCCGTATTCCTGTTGTCCGGACGGCGGCGCGCCGTACTGGCTGTACGGAGGAGGCCCGCCGTAGTATTCACCTGCAGACATGATGGATCACTGCAAGTCCCAAGCTGTATGCGGATTTTGCAAGAATCAAGTGACGGACTCGTCAATGAGCAGGAAGGAGAAAGGGGATGCCTGCGAACCAAGAACTGGCAAGAGCGGAGTCGCGACCGGTCCACGGAGCTGCTTGGCGGGGGAGGGGCGGCCGACAGCCGCGTGGCTAACCAAATCCAGTAACAGCTGACAAAGTGGAAATGCAGATGGCTCTATTCAGTTTCCCGGTTTCCCTCGTGATGAGAACTATCAGTTTAATTGCATGGGTTGCAATTGACAATGAGCTGATAGGCTGTCGAGTCTCCCATTGACAATTCCACTGACTCTCTTAGGCCGTATCCTTATGTTTATATAGATCGACTGGATAAGGCAATGGTTGAGGTGATGGGACTGCGACTGCCAGTACAGTCTTGTGCCCTGGGTATTACGTATAAGACACGATCTGATGAGTACTCTCGTCCTGAATGCTCGTACTGATTGTGTTTACGATTGTCGAAATGTACGACAGAGAGTGCGTACTGACCAAAATAGAAATAGATGTACGATATGGAAACGAAACAGTTAACAGAACAACAGTGGTATCATCCATTATCCTCATTACTTGAAGACAGGTATACACAAGGACGCTCGACTGGTATCAAATATGTCTGTCCGACACCCGCCCTACCGCACCACATTCCGGATGGCACTCTCCATCCACAACTTCGCGTACTGCCGGTGCAGCCACTCAATGTGCGGCGGCATAGGCGGCCCCTGCGCCTTGCCCAGACCCTGGTAGAAGACGCTCTTGAGCTTGAACTCGGCCACGCCCTCGTCCGGCTTGACAGCGACGCCCATCTCGAACAGGCCGTCAGAGGGTCGGACGTCGCGTTTCAGCGGGGAGTCGCCGCATCGCACAACGATGCGGTCGTCGGTGTGTTCAATCACCTCGAAGTGGTCGGTGATCTGGGTGCCGACGGGGTAGGACGAGGTGCGCAGCTCATGAGGGGACCAGAGCTGGTGGGCCGTCTGGGGGCCTTTGTACTTGCGGGCGAGGTATTCGCGTTGGAAGGCATAGCCTACGAATCACACAGAATTAGCCAATGCCTCCCTCTAGACAGAAATATCGATATCGATCTTCTCACCAAACCCGCCCCAGACACCCGCACAGAACGCCTCGACCAGCTTCCCCTTCTTCTCCAACAGCTTTGGGTCGATCTGCGACAGCGGCACCTTGCGCACGCAGACGTCATGGATGGTCTCGTTCTGCTCCGGGTTGTACTTGCGGTACCAGGACGACTGGAACAGGGCGTCGGTCGTCGGGAGCGGCTCGACGGTGGAGTTGCGTGTCCAGACGAAGAAGGCGCCGACCGTGGCGACGCCGCCGTAGGTCGTCAGCTTGACGAGGCGGGTGATCAGGCCCATTGTCGTTTAGACAGATGATTGAGTGTGGTTAGAAAAGGAATAATGAGAGGGGAAATGTTCACAGAAGAGGGAGGCGTGTTAGGCCGATACTCCGGACTGCCAAGACTCCGCAGTCGGCGATCCTCCGAGGTGGTTGCGGAAACAGGATAAATTCCGGAAGGCTGGATTTTGTCAAAAGAATTGAAATTGAATAGTCCGTAATTTTGGCAATAGTTATCTTGCAAAATATCTATAGCCTTAGTTTGGAGATGGCCATGTTTTTCTGTGGTGACCGTTAGTACGCTGCGGGTATATATTTTCGAGGATATACTGTATTTGTAGTTGCCGTCAACCACGCGATACAATTTGTCTACAATTCAGTCTTTTTCCTTCGACACCAAAACATTTCATTTTAGCCTGTCACTGAAAGAACCAACTATTGATTGGTTCTTTATTTCAATTTTTTTTAACCAACACCTATCCAGTCCATTGTTTGCATAGCATTACTCCGTACTCTGTACTATATCGACGCACGGACCACCACCGATCCCTTGTCCACGTTCCATCTCCCGATAGGACAAACTCTCCTCTGCAGACGATCACAGCCCAGCCCACCTCATGCTGATCCCCTTCATTCTGCTGCTCTTCTTGGTGACTGTCCCTCTGTACGTCATCTACAAGCCTCCCAGCCTGGTCATCCGCTACCTGCAGCGTCGATGGCCCGACGTCCTGTAGCATGTGCCCACAGCTAAGAAGCTCGTCGCGCTCACCATCGACGACGGGCCGTCCGAGTACACGGAGGAGATACTGCAGATCCTCGACGCGAACGATGCCACGGCGACATTTTTCATCATTGGCGCTCATGTCCCTGGCCGCGAGGCGATCCTCCACGACCTGATCCGGCACGACAACGAGCTCGCCAATCATGCGATGCACGACGAGCCATCGCGCGCGTTGAGTGAGACGCAGTTGGTCGAGCAGATCAAAACTGTACAGAATATGATCCACAAGGCCTACGCTGTTGCAGGCAGAGAGCAACCTCCGACCAGGTACTTCCGCCCCGGATCGGGCTTTTTCAGCACGAGGATGCGCCAGATCGTCGCGCAGCTGGGTCATCGTCTTGTCCTGGGCAGTGTTTACCCGCACGATCCGCAGATCCCGTTCTGGCGGGTCAATGCCGCGCATATCCTCAGCATGGTGCGGCCGGGGAGTATCATCATCTGTCACGATGGCAGGCGCTGGACGGCGCCGATGCTGCGGAGGGTCATCCCGGAGTTGAGGAGGAGGGGGGTATCGCATTGTGACGGTGACAGAGCTGTTGAGAGAGGCATCGTTATTGACTTGTTGAAGTCGTTCTTTTCCTGTTCTTCCTGTCAGGTCTGGACTCAATGTGACAGATCGATGGCGCGCAGTACATACAATTCCTAGGAGTCTTCGTTTATTTCTATCACAGACAAGACATCAGTGTGCCTGATGATGGCCACTGCAGAATATCTATAGAATTCCCTAGCTGGGCTGGGTTAAAAAAATAGAAAGAAGTTATTTAACCCCGATATTTCCAAGAATATCGTCATTGGCGTGCTTTTCGTATCGCATCTCTCTGCCTTACCTACTATACCTTAAATCTTTTCATAATATAGATATTAGAATATATACATTAGAATATATACTAAGATCGTTTCGACAGTATACGTCTGGTGTTAGACTTGATTACTTTAGCTTGGTAACATCTGTACAGAGTAGTTTCTTCCTTTTTTGCTTCAGTAGATTTTTTTTTTAAAAAAGGCCCCTTATTTTTCGCTTTCTTCTCTCTCTTTTGTAAATTGATCATGTTATGACGTGATGTGATGTGGTATAGTCAAAGCGAAATGGAATCAAAAAAAAAAAAGGAAGGACAAAAGAAAAAGAAATACACAATTAAATAAAAAGAAAAAAAAAAGAAAGGAATGATATTCAAAAGTCATAATTTCTAGTTTCAATGACTCATGAACAGAATTCTATCTCGAATAATATTCTATTCGATTTCCTGGTCTTTCTTGTATGGGACTTGGGCATTCTGATTACAACTCTATCCAGCGAGCAGCTCGAGCTAGCTAAACGGTCGCGATGACCAGAAACTATGTTATGACTTCCAGATACATACATGCCTCCATGGGTCGATGTTGTCCATCGAATTGAATTCGAACCTCAATTGATGACCTGCATACAAACTGGAAATGCGGGGAACGCAAACGGCCCGCTATTAGCGCAGAATTCAATTACAAGCATCGATCTAATGAATCCGCAATTATGATTGGCTAGTCAATTGACTGGCCCACTCTTAACTTACTTAGTTATCGATTGCGGATGACATAAGAATAATTACCTATCCACCAGCATCTTTACTCTTCGAGCAAAGTGATACACAACATGCCTCTTCCAGCAGACTACCTTGACAAAGTCTACGCCGGGGTGCTGGGCAAGGTGATAGGGGTGTATTTGGGCCGGCCATTCGAGGGCTGGACACACGAGCGCGTCCTGGCCGAGCTGGGTCCCATCCGGTACTATGTGCAGAAGGATCCGGATCGCGTGGTGGTGGTCGACGACGACGTGTCGGGGACGTTTGTGTTCGTGCGCGCGCTGCAGGAGCATGGAGTCCGAGCGGATCTCTCGTCCGAGGCCATCGGCAAGACCTGGCTGAACAATGTCATCGAGCGCCGCGCCGTCTTCTGGTGGGGAGGAAACGGCATTTCGACGGAGCATACCGCGTTCCTCAATCTGAAGAAGCGCGGTATCCCTGCCCCTCTGAGCGGCAGTATCCAGACGAACGGCAGGACGGTCGCAGAGCAGATTGGTGCCCAGATCTTCATCGACGGTTGGGCTATGGTCGCTCCTGGAAATCCGGCCCTGGCAGCGCAGCTGGCTGAGTTGGCTGCCAAGGTCAGCCATGACGGCGAAGCTGTTCACGCAGCCAAGCTTCTGGCTGCCATGGAGGCCGAGGCCTTCGTCTCCAAAGACGTCAACCGTCTGCTAGACGTCGGGCTGAAGTTTGTGCCAGCCGATTCTCTCATCGCGCGGTTGGTCAACGATATCCGCCAGTGGGCGAAGAGCGATGGCGACTGGAAGAAAACGCGGCAGAGGATCGAAGAGAGGTACGGATACGACAAGTTTGGCGGGATCTGCCATGTCATCCCCAACCACGGCCTGATCATTCTTGCGCTGCTGTACGGCGGGCATGACTTCCACACAGCCATGCACATCGTCAACACGTGCGGGTGGGACACGGACTGCAATTCGGGCAATGTGGGCTGTCTGGTTGCTATCATGCACGGCCTGGACGCGTTCGAGGGAGGGCCTGACTGGCGCGGTCCGGTGGCAGATCGGATCATGATCTCTAGCGCTGATGGGGGCTACTCGATCAACAACGCGGCGCGGATAGCATACGACATTGCCAACTTGGGTTGTCAGCTCGCTGGAGAAGCGCCTCTCCCGGCTCCGAAGGACGGCGCCCAGTTCCATTTCACCCTGCCGGGGAGCGTGCAGGGGTTCCAGGTGACTCGTCATGCCCTGCTGCCGGACCTTGTCCGGGTCGAGCAGGCGCTGGACGACGAAAAGAGGCCTGGACTGGCAATTCGGCTCCATGGTCTGACAGACGCAGTGGATTCAGTCGAGGCGCTGACGCCGACGTTCACGCCTGTCGAAGCGGTGGACACGAAGACGTACGAGCTCATGGCATCGCCTCTGGTGTATCCGGGCCAGAGGGTCGAGGCCGTTGTGCGAGCAGAGAAGACAAACACAGCTCCTGTCAACGCGCGGCTGCGACTGAAGGTATACGGGCCAGACGATGATCTGCACACGGCAGCCGGTCCATCTGTGTCGCTGCATCCAGGGCAGGAGGAGACACTCGCCTGGATCATTCCCGATTGCTGGGACAGCCAGCCGATTCAGCAGCTAGGGCTTGCGCTGTGCGTGCCCGATGGCGGACGCCGTGTCGACGGCACAGTGTGGCTAGACCGACTAGGCTGGAAGGGCGCACCACGTCAGACGCTGAAACGTCCAGTTGCAAAACCGCAGGAGGGACATTTCTGGCACCGGGCCTGGGTGAACGGCGCGAGCACGTTCCAGACAGAGCTTCCGGGCAGCGGATTCTGCATCGCGCAGGACAGCGGCGAGGGCATCATCGCGTACGGGACACGCGAGTGGAAGGATTACGTGGTGTCTGTCCCACGCCTGATCGTCAATCTGGGCACGGTAGCAGGCGTCGCCGTCAGAGTGCAGGGCCTGAATCGGTACTACGCCGTGATGCTCCTGTCTGGACCACCCCGGCGGATCGCACTGGTCAAGGCGCGAGACGAGCAGAGAGCCGAGCTTGCCAGCGCGCCGTTCGACTGGACGCTCGATACTGCTTACGAAGTCACCGTGTCGGTCGAAGGGAATGCCATTACTGGTCGGTTAGAAAATTGGGGCCCGGTCCTGCAGGCTGTCGATGGGGAGTATGCGGGAGGAGGAATTGGGTTGGTTGTTACGGACGGTTCTGTGGTTGCGGATCAGTTTGATATCGCGCCGGTGCGGTAGTATAATTTGCATGAAGAAAGGTCAAATGAGAATATGATAAAGCAACTGCAGTCCATTAACGTATCTAGCTACTGGGTCTGTATGTACGTACATACATGCGAAACAGAACAGGTAATATAGCTATTAACTTAGATCCACAGAGAATAGCTTCTTTTCGTGCTTCCACCTACGCTATACATGACTATCATCCAACAGATTGTACCTAGCAAACTGCCGCGGAGGGACCTTCTTCTCGAACAGAATATCGAGCTCCTCGAACGTGCGGCCCCGACTCTCGGGCAGTCGGAACCAGCACCAGCCGTAACACACCAGATTGATGGCACCGAAAAGGAAGCCCGCCTTGCCGCGCCAGTCCGCCTGGTCGCTGTTCAGCATGTAGGGCATCGCGACGGTGAAGACGATGCTGGCGAGGGCCTGGACTGCGGTCGCGATGGCGATGGTCCGCCCGCGCAGCCGCGTCGCCGAGATCTCGGAGATGATGACGAAGCACACCGGGCCGACGGTCATCTGGTAGATGAAGGTCCAGATGTCCATCAGCGAGGCCTGCGCCCAGACGACGGGCGACTGGTTGCGGCCAAAGTCGAGGAAGCCGATGACGAAGAGGATGATCGTCATGAAGATCATGCCCGTGTTGTATATAGTTCGGCGGCCAAACTGGAAGCGTCAGAAGACTGCCCTGAATAAGAGGATTTTTACTTACGTATAAGATTAAGAGCCACGAGAGACAGGTTCCAACGAACCCCAGAGCGGTGTTGCCCACGCCCACTGTCAAGGATTAGCGTTGACTATATTATATACGGTTTGACGAGAGACTGACTGTTGAATGACTCGGTCGAGTCCAGCCCGGCCATTTCGAAAAAGAAGTTTGCATACGCAATTAGCGGGTTTCCCCCGATGACCTGGATCAGGTACACCATGACCGAGATCTCCGTGCGAAAGAGGTTCACGCCCTTGAAGCAGTCGAAGTACGTCGTCGTCGCTTCGATCTCCCGCTCGAGGAGATCCGTGTGCTCAATCATATTGACGAGCGCGTCAATATCCGGACGGTATTTGGCAGACGAGAGCCGCTTGAGCGCAGCACGCGCATCCTCCTTTCGGCCCTTGCGGACCAGCCAGTATGGACTTTCGGGCGCAAAGATCAGCCCGACGAGCAGCACAGCCGGCCAGACCCACTGGATAGCAAAGGGCGCCTTGTACGCCCACTCGTCAAGCCGGCTCTGGAACCCGGCAGAGCAGCCTTGCGCGACAAACTGGCCGATCACAAAGGCCAGATTCACAGCAGCAGTCAGGACGCCGCGCAGCGCCAGCGGACAGATCTCTGACGCATAGGTCGGGGCGATAACGACGTAGAAGCCGTAAGCCAGCCCGCCCAGTATCTCTCCAGCACAGAGCATCCTAATCGAGGTGGAGAAGAACTGGACGAAGACGAAGCCGACGGACCACAAGCAGCAGAGGGCCAGCGTCAAGCGGCGGCCAAGCCGTTCGAGCGGCCAGCCGCAGGCGAGGGCGCCCAGAATCTGGCCGATGGGGTTGCCCTGGAGAGGTCAGATTGGTCGCAACAGGAGAAAGACGGCAGATCAATTGGTCCTACCATCCCCAAGGCCGTCTGCCACGGGGCAGAGATGATGTACGACCCTTGATATTCGTAGCCAAAGCGCTGCTGGAAGGCGGGCATGGCATAGAAGGACGTGACGAGCTGGGCGTCGAAGCCGGCCATGACGACGGCAATGCAGAAAAACAGCGCCCAGGCGACAGCGGTGGGATACTGGCGCACGGCGTCCCAGAACTTCAGGTCGTGCTCGGCGATGGTGATGTCGCGGGTCGCGTCGATGGCGAGGATGTCGCCTTTGCGCAGGTCGGCTTCGGCGGCGGCATGGTCACGCGACGGACGCACGTCGTCCTGGGGGGTGATCTTCTTGGTAATCGAGTCCTCCTGGGCCATGCTGTGTTGATTCATCAGCTACAGCAGCTACAGAGCAGAGGAAAGACAACATATCGCTGGAAGATAATGTGGCCTGGCTGGGGGATCTCGTGGCATGCAGATAGGAGACAAGCAGCATCCCCATGGGGCCTAGTCTGTGAGATAGCAGCAACCAGCCAGTAGAAACAGCGCATTTGCTGACACTTTGAAGCTTATCAGGAAAAGGAGAGCGGGAGCGGGCCGTGATTGGCTGCAGACCTCCCTAATCAGTGGATTTTGCGGGGTAAGGTTGAGCTAGTCCTGAACAGGTAATTCAATACTTATCACACAGACAGTCAAGATATTTCGAAGATTGACTTTAGAAGTCTATAAGAGGATCGTCGAAATTCTCCATGTTAGTAAACCGTCGACAATTAGAGATGGAACGAATAGAACACCCGTATCTTTATATCTTCCTTACAAGATCTTCCACGTGACCATTGGAAAACAAAACCAAGTATATCAAGAGAATATAACAAGGAAACTCTTAATTGTGATAACTTTAATTTTTAAATCAGAGTCACTGGTACGATTTAATCTTCGTATAAGCTTATTTTCCAACGTTATCCAAATTCCCCAGGAGCAATCTGGGCTCTGTTTGTATTAATACATTTCTTCCTGCCGTAGACATCGAAGTAAAAATTTTAGGATGAGAAAGAATGAGAGAAAGATCATGAGCTGTTCAAATTTATGCCATGTCCATGTTTTTGATTCGGGCCAATTGGGATCTATCGGTCAAGATAAGATCACGTTGCGACAGATACATTCGCCGTATCATGCTGTCGTAGCAGACGGACTATGGCCCAGTGTCTCTGTTCTGCTGCCCATGCCGCTGGTGTTTTACCCCTAGTATCTCTCGAGTTGGGATCAGCGCCTTTTGCAAGCAATAGCTTGACTACTGCCTCGTGGCCTATGTGCTGCTGCCCATGACAGTGGTGTCCGATTGAGCGCATCGCGGCTGTCAGGATCAGCCCCCCTAGCAAGCAATAGCTTTACTACTTCCTTGTGCCCATGTATGGCTGCCCATGAGAGTGGTGTTCGATTGTACCTATCGCGGCTCTCAGCATCAGCCCCCTTGGCAAGCAATAGCCTGGCTACTGCCTCATGCCCCTCTGATGCTGCCCGTGATAGCGGGGATTGATGAAATTGTCGGTCTTGCTGGTTAGGATCAGCACCCTTCGCGAGTAATAGCTCGGCTACTCCCGCGTGCCCCAGGTGTGCTGCATATAATAGTGGTGTTCTATCAGAGCCTTCTTTCCCGTCAGGGTCAGCACCTTCTGCAAGTAGCAGCTTGATCATTCCCTCATGTCCATGGCATGCTGCCACACATAGGGGTGTCCGAAGAAATTGGTCTTCAATGTCAAGTTCCACACCTTTTGCAAGTAATAGCTTGACAATTGACTCGCGTCCATTTTTAATAGCCTCTAAGAGCGCTATCCCAGTACGATGGTCCTTGGGATCAACACCATTCTGAAGAAAGAGCTCGACAACTGCCTGATGACCATGCTTTGCGGCCATCGACAATGGGGTTTGCCCAGTCGTCTCTGCAGAGTTTGGGTTAGCACCCTTCTGAAGCAGCAGCTTCGCAATGGCCTCGTTCCCCTGTTCTGCGGCATACGACAGAGGGCTCCGCTGTGTCAGGCCATTTTGGAACTCTGCAGCGACTCCATCATCAAGCAACAGCCTGACAATAGTCTCATATCCATTTTGTGCTGCAGATCTCAGCGCATCCTCGCGTATACGGTCGGTTATGTTGTCTGGATCAATCAACTTTTTCGAGCTCAAGCAATAATAGCCTGACCGCTGCCTCCTGCCCATGTCCTGCTGCGTAAGACAGCGCGGTGCGCCCAAACCAGTCATCAAGGTCCAGACCAGGGCTCTTGGCCAGCAGCATCTTGATTATCGACACATGTCCGTTCATCGCTGCATTCGATACTGGCGTCCGGCCATCCTCGTCCTGGAAGTGCGGATCGGCCCCTTTCTCCAGGAGTAACTTGACGATTGCCTCGTGGCCGTTCATGGCAGCGTACGACAGGGCACTGCGGCTGAACGGATACTCATACTCTGACCAACACCTTCCCCTGGCCGCATCGTCCTCAACCCCAATCGCCCGTCGATTGTCATCCCTGGCGGCGCTGGCACTGCTGGTGGTTGCACCTCAACTCCTGCCTTCAGCGCCTTGTGAACGGTCCCATGGCCTGCGGCCCAGAGCAAGGCAGAGCCATTGAAGCGCCTGGCATTATAACGATAGAGATAGGGATTCACGACCGCGTAAAAGCGACGACCTGTTTGGGTCAAGGCATTGATATCTCTCTGCGATTCGAGACACGTTGCTATCGAGAGGAATAGTTCATTTGGGAGATCAAGCAGTGACATTGTAGCGTGTGAAGGTGTGTGGTGATGGTTGAAGAGTACAGCAGGAGTTGCGGTAAGCTCGCTTTGTTCGTTCCTGGCCCGAGCGGGGTACCAAGTACGGCACGCCATTGCGGTCATCTGAGAAATATAGACACATGGCTTGCTAACTAACACCGATTAAAAAATGCGCATAATATAAATAACTACAAATAGAAATGTTAGATGCAAAATTTCCTGTTTTTGCTTTGTTGGGTGTGTTTTTAGAAGCTCAATGTTCTCAATTAGACGTAAGACACATAATAGTAATGTTCCTTTCTCTGTATACTTTATCCTACCGGAACTTAATTACCAATTTAGTATCGTGAATTATTACCTCGATTTATATTGCTATTCTGATTCTATTAAATGTCCGGGCAGACAGGCGGAGAGGTATTTCATCCAGGTCGTTAATTGGCCTCACAGCCCCTGTAGCCAATAGGACCTAGGACATTGCTAATCTCCAGACTGTGAAGAATCTTCCAATTTTAGATGTCGAGGCAAGCTGGCAGTAAATTATTTTGTCTTTTTCTTCCACTTTTTTTTTTTAACGCTAAACAATTTTGATTGACTGTATTGACGAAACATAGTATTTAAAAACTTCATAGCTACAGGTAGGCAATTATCAAATTTATCTCTAAGTGATAGTGCATCTAGGCTGGAATTGACTCATTTGAACTGTACTATACTTTGAACTCATGACTAATTGCTTTCATTTGAAGGGAAGAGGTGTATATTAGGGTTATATGACACCCGTTAATAAATTCGCAATTGCTCAATTACGACTAAATTCAATAGATATTTTAGTTACTATTCTCGGAATTTAAATTCGGTACTATTAATGGATATGATTTTATTGGACCAGAATTACTGGACCAATTTACTCCGTAATATTTTATTTCGATAAAGATGGCACTTACGATGCTCGACTGTACTGGCTATCAGCTGGACGAATTGGTTATCTCTGTGCTTTGCCATTCCAAGTTCCATGACGACAAAAGAACATGCATTCGGTGCTATATGATGTGGATGAGATACTTGATTCCTTCCTGAAGTTCAATTATGTGCATCGGCACACCCCGCTTCCCCACCATGCGGATCTTGGATTCCTACACAACGCTCCACCACTGGAGAATTACACCACAGCGCCATAAAAAACCAACGGATCGATCCTTAAACCTGCAGAAGACTATCCACTCGGATGAATACCGACGAATCCACAGACTCCATGACTGTGGAACAGCCGCAGCTTTACGTCGCACGCGATGTCGGAGAGAACGCCGATTCGCATAGGGCAAGAGCCAAGCCCTCCGTCATCAGTTAACGCGTTGCTAATATATAGCTAAGCTGAGGAGGTGAGATCTGCCAAGATTTTCTTCTCCAGAGTCAGCCTGTTCGAGTAGTGTCTGGCACGTCCAGACTACGTTTAGGAGCAACGACACAGCAAGCAATATGGCTCTCCCACCGAACTGCGAGGTGAGTGATACGATACGCTTTTATCCATTGAATTCAGCACATAATTCTGCGGCTCAAGACTAACCCTGCCAGCGATATCCCCGCACAGAAGTCGCGTCGAACAAACCAGAATTCTTCCGCGCCGCCGCCGCAAAGAACCTGCCCAACGGCGGCTTCATCATCTACGATGACACCTTCCTCTCCATCCTAGGCCCCGCGCCAGAGCTGGACGTCATCGCGGAGAACGACGCGTACCCGTTCGCGCACGAGGCAGGCGTCTACATCCCTGCGCACGACGAGGTCTGGATCACGAGCAACCAGTTCAAAGTCGCGGGGAAGAAGAAGATCCAGATCGCGAAGCTCAAGCGGGTAGGTGGCGGCGGGTCGAAGACGTTCACGGTCGAGGAAGTCGACCCCGGCATCGAGATGGCCAACGGCGGAGTCAACTACCGCGAAGGAGTGCTCTTCTGCGAGCAGGGCACGTTCACGAACCCCGGCGGGCTGGTGTACATGGAGGCGACACCGCCGTACCGCACGCAGACCATCATCAGCAACTACCACGGGCGGTGGTTCAACTCGGTCAACGACGTCGTGGTGCATTCCGACGGGAGCATCTGGTTCACGGACCCGACGTACGGCTACGAGCAGGACATCCGGCCGCGCCCGCAGCTGCCGAGCCAGGTGTATCGGTACGATCCCAGGACGGGCGACGTGCGTGCTGTTGCGGATGGGATCCGCAAGCCGAATGGCCTGTGCTTTTCGCCTGATGAGAAGACGCTGTATATCACTGATACGGATGCGGTGCATGGCGAGGGGGTTTATGAGCCGGATCGGCCGGCTTCGATGTAAGTATTTTCTGCTGTTTATATCTCGTCCATTTCTCTCTCTTCTTTTTGTTGAACACCAAACTAACAACTCAGCTACGCATTCGACGTAATCTACCTCCACGGCGCCCCCTTCCTCGCCAACAAGCGGCTATTTGCCATGACGGACTGCGGCATCCCAGACGGTATCAAGTGCGACACCGCGGGCAACGTGTACAGCGGATGCGGGGACGGCGTGCACGTCTGGACGCCGGGAGGCAGTCTGATCGGGAAGATCTACGTGCCGGGGGGCTGTGCGAATTTCTGCTTCGGGCCGGCGGGGGAGATGTTTCTTCTGAATGAGCATAAGGCGTGGAGGGCGAAGTTGGCTGATCAGACAAGGGGGGCGTTGTTGGGGATATAACATAGAATGATTGCCATGGAACTGTCTAGGTACAGTACGTCGTAATAGGAAATTCCCAATCGAATAGCATTGCTAAATTGATACTGCGATGTCTATTCATGTCTCGATAATACCGCAGTACGGAATACAATAGGTAAGGAATAATAATTCAACTTCCTTGACCCGACTACTTCCTCAAACCACGCCATGCTCAACATGACAGACCGAGTCCGTCTTGGTCCCATCATCCACCAGCGTCGTAAGATCATCCGTCTTCGAGAACAGCCTATCCACATCCTCCAGCTGCAGCCCCTTAGTTTCAGGATAAAAGAAGTAGATGCACGGCACCCAGCAGGCGTTGAACACGGCAAAAATGATATATGTCTTCCAGCCGATGTTTTGAATTGACGCTGCATCGTGTCGTGTCGTATCGTATTAGCAGGGTATGATTCTGATATACCGTACGTCAGGTACTTACGAGGCGTGATTTGCACAACCATGTAGTTGAAGATCCAGTTCGAGGCTGTGGAGACGGACGACCCTCGCTGCCGAAGACGCAGGGGAAGAATCTCCGATCTTCAGGCGGCAGTTAGTTGTCTTCGCTGTGATTATCCGGAACCGGATGAGTTCTCACGGATACACCCAAACAGTAGACTGAAAGCCCACAGCAAAAGCACCAAGGTACACAAACAACATGGCCGACGCAGCGATGCCTGCGGGTCTGGATATGGGAGTGTTGTACTGTACTTGGTAGATCAACGCTGCTTGCACGGCCATGACGGCGCCCATGAGGCCGATCATGGACATTAACTGATAGAAGTTAGTGTAGGCCAGAAAATAGGGTCAGGGATACAAACTAATGGTCGACGACCAACACGATCGATCAGAAGGTACGGAATGAACGAGGCGACGAAGAACCAGGTGTTCAGATACCCGGACATGAGGCCAGCCATGTGGGTAGAGAATCCGACGCTGTTCTGGAAGAGCGTGTTCGCATAGTCTGCGGCATCATTAGCACAGTTAGAAGAATTGATTTTGAGGGATCTGCAAATATCATGGATATGTTTACAAAGTACCGCGTTATTCCCCCCCAGCTGCTGCATGATCTGGATTCCGCACGCAAGCAGAAACCTGCGTCTACTTTTGATGATGTCGCTCTTGAGGATATCCTTCCAGGTCCCAGCGCCAAGCGTCCTTTCCACAGCAACAGCCTGGACGATGTCCCGGTGAAGCCGCAAGATATACTCTTCCGACTTGCGGTGCTGGAAGAGTCTCCTCAAAACCATGAGCGAGTCCTCCGGTCGATCGTGATTCGCGTACCACCGCGGCGTGTCAGGGACCAAAGGCAGGAGCAGAAGCTGCAGACACAGAAAGAAGCATTGCAGGATGGTAGGAACGCGCCAGGCAGCGCTGGTGGGGATGTTGGCGAAGGCGAAATCGATCCAGTAGACGAGCATGATGCCGAAGTTGAGTGTGGAGATTTGCATGCAGACGACTAATTTCCTCAGCATACGTACAAAGAGGGCCATATGTTAATGGGAATGACGTACAGACTCCTCGGCTGCCCTGGGGCGAAAACTCGGATTGAAAGACCGGCGTCGTCGAGTTGATAAAGCCCATGCCGATACCGGATACAATTCTGCCGACGATGAGCTGTGCACGCGAGTAGGCCGTTGCTTGGAGGATGGCGCCAACGATCATGATGGTCGAGCCAGTGGCAATACTCTTGCGACGACCGAGGCTTTCCCCGACGAGGGACGTAATGACAGCGCCGACGAAGGCTCCAACTACGCCAGAAAAGTATCAGCATTGTGCTAATAGTCTTGCCATGTTAAAGTAGCAAAACTGGCCTTCGTAAATCGCGACAAAGACACCGATCATGGTCGCGCTCGGATTCCCAAAGCTCGCCGCAAACTGAGGTCCGTTGACTGCTGGGTATCAACTTCACTATATTAAGATATCACGGAGAGAATGAACTCACCAAACCCGCCCATCAAGCCGTTGTCGAAACCAATCATCAAAAAGCCAAGGGACGTGATGGTGGTGACGACAGCCAGCAAGGATCTGCCTTTGAGGGGGAGCATCGTGCGTAATCTTTCCAAATAGAGAAAAGAGAACCTAAGTTTAGGGTTAAGGATACTCGTTGCTGGAACTAATTAACCAAAATTTCTAGATGGAATCCGGCATAGAAGTTTTAACGAGAGGATCTCAGGATGCCTCTACTTAACAACCGGATAAATAATCTGTCCTACATACTTCATTTCTAGGTACCCCGTCCTTTCCGGGGAAACGCTGGTTGCCTGGATATGCGGGGGTTAGTGTCTAAAAGTAATGCGAGGGGTTAGCTTATTCCACGAAAATCAGCTAAACTACCAGCTAAACTACCTTGGTACTTTCACACGAAAATGTATCTCCTTCACTGCCGTTTTCTGACTAAGCCCAGCATTGTTGTACGTATTCTCTTCAACATCTAGAATACAAGCCTTCTAGGTCTCGCTTCGCTCGACTGATTTGAAGAGAGAAAATACCTACCTGGTTACAGTATGCCAAGGACTTTGTATCTCTGAGGGAGGCAATCCACTACTTCCCAGGCGGGCTCCCCACCTATATATTCCTCACTATATATTATTATTATTTCTCATGCTTTAGTAGTAGTCCTTGTCATCTACTCTCTAGCCGGGCTTACTAACTATATCTCTTGTTATAATCTCTTTTTGCCATAACTCTAGCTATATCCCTTTCCTAATATCTATGTACAGAGGTACGTGACAGTATACAAAAACGGAAATTAATATTTTTATAGTAGAGGTGATTACATCATCTCCTATTCTGGTCGTTGATTGCGGCTGATATGACTCCCAGACTGAAAACATGATTCTCAAGATTCTTTAGTCCTCTGTTAGCTTTGCAAATAAACCAACCCAGGAACAGAGTAAGTGATACTCTAAAGCTCACCTTTACTGCATAAAATCCAATTATAGTTGTCTCGGGTGTTATTTCTAGCTTTTTAAATTGCAGGTTTTCTTGTTTTTCTGCTTCCTCTCTCGTTCTGAGCTCCCGGGCGCCATGGTCTTGGAACAACCAAAACCTACCACGATTCGTAGAAACTGAATACCATTAGCATTCGGTATCAAACTAGATATATCTCTGATATTTGTGTAATGCCATTCTTTCCATACCATATAACGTTGTGGAACCCCTTGACTGAAGTGTCGGTAACAGGCTTCATCATTAGAATAGTGTTGGACAGCAACATATACAGCATCAATAATTTCCCCATCTGGCCATCGACAGAAAAGTTGCCTCGATCTGAAAACTCCCATAGATTAGGAATAGACGGATCATAGCCAAGGTGAAAGACAATCCTCGGATCTTCCTCATGGTTGTAGTAAACCCCCATACGGTATTCGAGCATATTGACCGATATTGCGGTTAAGGAGCGAAGTTCTCGACCATTGGCGCCACCAAAAAGAGTCCAATATAGAGGTCGATAGCCGGGAACCAACGGATCCTCTCCGAGGAAGGACATCTCATTCAAGCATAAGCTTGGCTCAGGAATTTTGGGGTACCACACTGCGTTCTGCCGTAGATAATCGATCTGAGGTTGTGACTATGCTTGGCGATAATATCCATCCCAGAAATTATACCCACCTACCACAGCTATGTAAATCCACTGTGGGATGTTGAATGGCTGCAACTGGCCAGTGGACTCTTGCATCGAGCAGTGCATAATTGAAGCATAATCACTCATGATTGTCATTGTTGGTTCAACCTAATGAAACAGATCCTCAAATACACTTAGGTTAGTATCATATTGATGATGCTCCTTTACATGAAGTGGCCATCGTGATTTTCAATCACAGTGAGCATGTTGGAGTATACACATGTGTAAAAGATAATGATGTCATGGTAGCGTGGAACATAGAACTTCTCATTAACTAGTGAAGGACCGAGCTTTCTGATCCTGCAACCCCTGTTCTTCCCTGTCACTCCCTGCTACTCCCATTTGCACCTGTTACATATTAATTAATGTTGTGAGTGAGGATTCGCGACATTACCTTGTGCCACTATATGGATCGCTAGGTCTGTTAAATAATTGGTTTTACAGGTAATGATAGTCTTTTTGGCATATCTGATGAATGGTCCTAGCCCATTGCCTTATAGCTTTGTTATGGAATATAAGAGAATATTGCTGCCTGATTGTACCTGTAGATTGATACATTATATGTCTGGTCATAGCGTAAAGACTTTAAGCCCAGAAAGGAAAATGAGAAGTTGTATAACCTCAAATAAGTTTAACAGAGATATCCCTGCTGCCCCAAAATTAAGAGAGGTGAGGCCAAAATTCCACTTTGAGGCTTATACAGTTGGGAAAATATAGCTGGAGGCAGTGCTGGCCAGGCCTAATAGCATGCTGCTCCCGCCTTGCTCACTGTTGCTCCCTTCTGCTCCTCCAGCGCCCAGAACGGAAGTGGTATTTGGTGCGCTACATTTTTGCTTTAAAGTATATAGGTAGATTATGTACTAGGCCGTAATACCATGTCCCAGGTTCAGGTATTCTTCGGAGTTTCTGCTGTGGATCTAAACCTGCATACACTGCTGACATGATTGGTAAGGACAGAGCTATACTAAGTGGTAACATAAGGATTTACAATCAGACAGGTGAGATAAAAGCGATTGTAAGTTTATGAGAATTCCCATTCTGGATTTATTTTTGTTTTCTCCAAAGAGCCTAATATAATGAAAATACATACAGTAATACGTATGGTAATTATCCGATCGATACGAATGTGCAACAGAATTAAGTACTCCATTTGCAATGCAATCTATAGATTGCTAGTCTTTTTTCTTCTAATTATTGTCTCATAATTTACACTACTATTCCATTTATTCAGTATCCTGTATAAGGATAATAAGCTGTCACCATCTTGTTTCTATAGTGTAACTAAGACTCTGGAAATGAGATAGATCAGATAAAAAGATGTCATCTCTTTTATCTGACCGTGAAGTCCGAGAAGAAATACTTTAATCGGAGCATATTCTTTATCAGGATATATCTGATCCTACTATATTGAATTAGTGATCTCGCATTTTATTCCATCCTGATCTTCGCTAGTAACGAGCCGTGACTTCCCAAGGCAGTGCTCTTCACAGTCTTCTAGCTAGCCAACGGCCCCGCAATGCTCGTCGTAATAGGAGCCTGCTCAATCCAAATACCAGACCAGTACCAGTCCTCAGGCGCCGGGTCCGAACCACCGTTGGGCAAACGCAACTCGCCGACGTGCCAGTCTTCAGAATTGGTCGACGTCGCCGCGCTGATGGGCGCCACGACCTGCTGCAGCGGATCCGAGCCGTTGGACGCCCAGAGGCCGACGGTCCCCGCGTCGAAGTCGATGTCGTACGCAAAGTTGTACCAGTTGTCTGGCACCAGTTGCGTCGACCACTGCGTGACGGATTGCACGTCCCAGCGCAGCGTGTTATCCGGGGCGGTTTGTCCGCTCAGCGTGCCGTATTTTATTTCGGTGAAGTGGCTCTATCGTCGATGAGTATGTACAGTACAATACAGTTTAGGAGAGGGGTTAGAGGTAGGCTTGCCTCAAAGAAAGCAATCTGATGCTCGAACGTGTCATTCGGCGGATTCTCACTCGACGCCTTCAGCGAGAAATGATAGTACAAATGGCCTGTGCCGAGATTCTGGGACGTCTGAGGGATGATCTCCGTCCGTTCCATATTCTGTCCTTCCCAGAAGGACGTTCCATCCTGGAAGCAGGATGTTAGCATAGCCTTACTGTACTAAGGGATGGATGTACCGTACAATTGTAATCCTTATGCCCTGCGCATCGCTCGTATCCGCTGGATTCTTGAAATCAGGCGACAGACCCAGATACTCGCTCGTCGGCCCACTGCCGTGGATGTACCATTGCCATGGCTCGATCTGGTTGGACCAGGACCCTGGATGTGTCAATTAGACGGTTGATAGCTATAACGAGGTGACTGTGAATGCAGCAAACTAACACAAATCAAAGTCCGCAACCGTGACGGAGGAATTGAAGATTCCGCTCCAGAGGATATTGCCCGCGCGAGCGGTGGTGAAGAGGATTGGAAGAATGGGGAGGACTGCTGTCTGCTTCATTTTTCGTTTGCCTTAGGGGAGAAGAATTGATTTGGAGCAGAATTATTACACAAGAACTAAAAATCTTTCAAAGAACGCAGTCTCAAGTGACACCACCATCGCATTTATAGTCGAGAGCCATGCCTAGAGTATTTACGGTGGGCTCTTTGGGATTATTGTTTTATGTTTCATTAATCAAGTCGTTAGATTGCTCTAATCCTTTCTAAGTAATACATTGCCTCAAATGTTCTGCAGAGAGGATGACGTTACAGACTTAACTAATAGCAACCTTCTTCGCGACATTCCGCGAGATCGACGTGGAGAAGTCTTGAACAGTTCATGCGCGGAGTTTCGCTTCAACCGGCCAGGGCTTAGCGTCATCGGGGATTAAACCTTTGTTCTAGGTTTTGCTGCAGATTTACGCTAAATGGGTAGCATGTCTCTACTCCGCTGCTGTAAATGAGGCCAGGCCGCAGAACAGAGAAAATAGGTCTCTAGTGTACAGAAAAAAAAAGAATGGAACACAAGAAATAACATTATATGGGAACAAGGTCTTGGTAGCTATTTTTTAAGCTAATAAATAACACCAGCCGCACGAGTTGCAGTATCTTATTCTGAGTGATAGCTATGCCATGTACTGCACCTAAGGCGCCATGAGGACATTTATCATTTAAGAAACAGACGCAATGTATTAGTCAATTGCGTATTGCTAGTTCCAACTAGCCTCATCAGCACATCAGAATCGCTGGAATTAAAATTGATGTAAGAATTCCTGTACGAGTTCCTATACGCAGGAGTTCATAATTTACTGGTGAGCATGAGATATTTGGATTCACCTATGAACTTTAGCAGCCAGAGATCTGAATCAGCTGTCAAATCCACGAAATGTCGACACATGTCATATGTGGTTCAACAGCTAATGACATCAATACAAACGCAGTCACTCGATAGTCTCAGCAAGCGGCGTAACACCACAGGGTTTCGATTTCGTCTTCTGAATAATCCTTCGGCAAGAAGCAATTCTACATATTCCAGGTATGGTCACGTAGCAGCTTGACGACATCCTCATAACCCATTTTAGCTGCATAGTCTGATGCTGTCCTGTGATTGGAATCTTCGATATTGACGTCAGCACCATGATCAATCAGCAGCTTGGCAGTCTCTATATCCCCTCCTGCGGCCGCATCATGCAATGTCGTCATTATAAATGTAGTTTGGCATTTATTTTGATGCCATTCTTGTGCAGGTGCTCGACAGTATTTTTATGCCCCTGCTCGGCTGCATGGTGCAATTCTGTCCATTTACAGTCATCTTTGACGTTGATGTCAGCATTATCTTCGATCAACGAATGGACAATGTCTCTTTGCCCCTGTCCGCTGCAAAGAGCAGTGACAGATCTCTAGATGAAGCATTGCTTTTCTCGAGCAGCATCACTATCACCGCGAGGCATCCCTCAATCCCACACGACCCGTTCGACGGTCTGGTTTTGCTGGAGCCCGGAGCTCGAGCTGGACGCTTTTTCCACGTCCTTCGAGGGGGCATCCCCCGTCTTGTCCTTCGTCTCCTCCATGCCAAACTCCGTGTCCAGCTCCGTGCGCAGCGGGATCTCCTTCTCGAACAAGGCTAGTATAAAGGCCACGCTGGAGAACATGACGGAGATATACCACACCCTCTGGAGGGCATCCACGAAGATGCTGATGACTAGCGTGCACACCGCGTCCGAAAGGGTGGCCAGGAAGGCGGCCGTCGCGTGTTCGTAGGCCTGGTCGCCTGACAGCACTGCCCGGACGGCGCCGTCCGAGATGCGGGACGACAAGTCATCGAAGCGGTTGTTGAAGATGGCCGCCGGAATCGCGACACTCCACACGTTGCCAAAGCTGCGGATGAAAGCCCAGCTGGCTGTGGCCGAGGCCTGGTCGCTCTCAGGCAGGCCGGCCTGGAAGGCGGGCAGCAGCGTGTTGAGGATCATGCCGGAGCCAGCGGCCGCGAACATCTGGAAGATGACCCATTCCGCAGTCGAGGTCTCTAGGAGGCTGAACAGGCCCAGCCCGATGGTCACGATGGCGAAGCCCACCAGGTGCAGATGTTTGTAGCGGCCGAACTTGGAGAGCACGATGACGGTTACGACTGCGCCCGGCACGGCCACCAGCACGATCGGCAGCATCTGCACGCCGGAACGGGCAGGGCTGGACTGTAGGACCCCCTGGAAGTAGATGGGTAGGAAGAACATGACCCAGTACAGGAGGATAGAATTCATCAAGGTGTTGATGGCGACGATTGCGCCCATCTTGTGCGCGAAGAGCCGCGGCGGGGTCACGGGCTCGCGAATCCAGGGCGAGCCCTCGATGGCCATGAACAGCGCGATTCCCACCAGGCCAAGCATCAAGGGAACAATGGTGCGCGCATCTGACCAGGGGTAGCGTGAGCCTCCGTATGTCAGGGCATACAGAACAGACACGCTAGAGGCCATGATGACCGCGTTTCCGATGAAGTCAATCCGCCTGACCTTCCGCAGCAACGTCATCTTGTTGGACTTGACCCGCAGGAGCAGGAACAGCAGCACGAGCGTATCGCCGCCTACCGGGAGGTTGATGTAGAACACCCAGCGCCACGTGCTGTGCTGGACGATGGCGCCGCCCACAAAGGGCCCCAGCGACGTGCCTATCGAGTACACGATCAGCACGATGGCGATGTAGTTGCCGCGCTCACGCAGGGGCACCAGGTCCGAGATGATGACGTCCACGATCATGTTGACACCGCCGCTGCCAATGCCCTGAATAGCCCGTGCCACGATGAGTGTCGTGCCATTGTTGGCACCACCGCAGATGCCGCTGCCGAGCGTGAACACAGCCACGATGAACATGGCCAGCCAGCGCCGGCCGAAGATGTTGTCCAGCTGTCCGAAGAGAGGCTGCACAGCCGCGCTTCAAGGTTGCCGCGTGTCAGCCTTGTTCAGTGGCCCGTCAGAGCCGCATGGGGACGCAGGTGGTGAAACAATCACCTGGTGAGGAAGAAGATGTTCGTGATCCAGACGTAGTTGTCGCCGATGTCGAGCTCCCGGACAATAGTCGGCAACGAGGTCGCAACGACGGTGTTCTCAAGTGCTCCCAGCAGGCCTGTAATGCAGAGTGCGACCATGATCGCCCAGAACCGGAAGCCCTTGTGGGAAGGCTGGGAGACATTGGACTCGATATGCTCCTGCGGCGCTGTCGCTTCGAGTGCGCCATTATTATTTCCATCGTGATTGAGCTCTGCTACGTCTGGTCCGCCTGGAGAGTTCATGGAGGGCGGCTTAACGTTGTTGACTTGTCTGACTTCCGCAGCTTTCCTCCAGGTCGGTGAGTGACAGGATGGCTTTGGGCTGCCTGTCTGCATGAATGAGGCGCCCCCCATCTGCAAGAAGCAACAATCCACAATGACATACGTTCTACCAGCAATTGTTGATGTTACCAGCACCCCAACATAAATTGTGTCGGGGGAATTCATTGCAGCCATGTCCGCGCCGTCGGCCTAATGTGTTGCGCCGCCTCCGCGTTGGTCCGCATATTCCTCCCGACTCCGAAGAACAGACAACATTCCTTGTAGATAGAATTATAGGATTAGCCATTGCGCGTCCAGGAAGCAGAAGAAGGGTTTGCACTTCATAGGTTACGTAGTTTGATCCGAACTCGATGCCTTTTGCCATGCCAGCTAGGAGACATTGAAGATGCGCTGGATTTTGGCAAGAAACTCCACCAGCTGGCGTCATCAGAATTGTGCCTAATGAGATAGTCTTCCTGTTGTTCAGCTCATGCCATCATCAACTCACTACCCTATCTTCTATCTGAAAGACAACAGGGTCCACTGCGCATAGCACCGACACTGTAGCAGACTCGCCAAAAAGGAATGACATGACATTCACGTCTTGGGAAATCTGCAACATGCTGAGCCCTTCAACGACCTCCATTTTTCGTATCTGAGGCCGCTGGCGAGAATCCGAAATGGTATACCCTCGACGTGACAAAGATCGTCCAGGACTTCTTCCCAGGGTACGTGGACCTTAAAGACTCTGGTCTGCCGAATCTGGTGCAGCGGCGCAAACAGGGGTAGGATTACTTCTGGCACATAGAAATAAAATCTGGGCCAATCTAAGTGTATCTGCAGCTCTTCAAGGCCAGTCATGCTGGCCAGCACACGACAGGTCTCTTCCCAGGTGTCTACATCGTAACCGGGATGGTCTCTCCTCTTTCTGTAGTAGCGAGGTGGAAAGTTGTATACAAGCTCCACGGTCCGGATCCGGTTCAGCCGTGATGGCAGGACCGTTTGTGACATGTACACGATGGCATCTGCGTGGTTGAAGCTGAAGACGTTGCCCTCGTAGAGCAGGTTCACCGTCTCGGTGTATCTAGCCAGTCAGCGAGATGGACAAACAGATCCTTCGGGGCTGGACTACATCACACGGCAGGTTTGGAGCAGAGGCAGGAGGTTGGCCTCGACGGCCGGAGATTCCGGGTATTGACCCGAGTAAAAGCCAACCTCACCATTGTGGCGAAATGCCATCATTGAGTCACGGCCCCAGCAGCGATTCTGGCAGCATGGAAGGTCAGGATCCTCGCCGCACTGAATGGCGACCAGCTTGCGGCGGCTGCCACGCACCACGTGCAGCCTCCATCCCGAGAGCACGTGCTTCCAGAGCAGCAAGCGGATCTCGGGGGGAGAAGGCCGATCAGCGGCGACTGATGCTGATCAAGCGTGCGTTGCGGGGTGGTCTCGTTGCGAATGAGTCTCCTGAACCTGGCAGTCCTGGATTTGCCATGCTTGCTGTCTGGCAAGGGGGGCGTGATGGCCCGCGGTCGTTGCTCCGGCAGTGGCTCCGGAGCGTGTCTCTTTCGCACCTTGTCGATGCGAGTACCATGGTCGTCTTCCCAGGGCCAGACAATCAGTTTCTTAGTCATGCTGCCGCTATGCTTGCTGGCGTTGATTTATCCTGGAGTAGTGGAAGGAGGTGAGAAGTGATGAGGCTGATGATAATGGTGATGAGGGGCTCTTGGAGTCACAGAAAATGCCAATGCTGACAGTCAGTCTATCTTCAACTTGAAACCATCCAGGAAACACATGCAGATGGGCAATTGGTAACAATGACAGCCAGATAGGAAGATGAAATACCTGGGTTCTGGAGGATAGAGGCGTGGCAGTGCAGGCGATCGCCGGAGTGCAGGCTGTAAGACTGGCCCCACGTGATAGCACAGCCTGCCAAACCTTTCTTTCGCCAACGGTCAAATTTAGCAGAGTGCAAAAACGAAAAGCAGTCCGCCAGAGAAAGAGAACAAAGACATCTACAAGTGTTGATCCACGGAGAGGCCCGGTTGCCGAGGAAAGTATGTGTGTGTACGGATCCCATCCAGCGAGTCCTCGCTTTGTTTCCGCTGTTCGACGGCCCCGCAGGTCGGATGCAGTCATGTCGGCTCCTCAGCAAGCGGAAATCCGTCATGTTACAGTCAAAGAATGCTTGCCTCGGACATAGCAGTCCGTCTATAAAGCGTGTCGTGATGGTCTGTCATCGATGCCATCTCCTGTGCTGGTCATCTTATCTATCGATTCTAGAGAATGAAGCTCCTCATCGCCAACGTTCTTACCTTTATCATGGCTGGTATACGTAGCTCCCATGCGTGGTACCTGGACGACTCTTGCAAGAATACCAAACCGCGAGGTGTGCTTCCTGGAAGCGAATCTGTCCATCCACCCATGTGCTGACACCCACGGCAGACTATCAAAGCCTGATCACCGAAGGCATGGTCAGTGCCTTCGACATGGCGCAGGCCGGGGCCGATGCCATGCAGGCGCTTCGTGACGGTTCGCACAATGCGACCTAGCTGGATCTGCTGCGATACATCTTCGCCGACGCCGTTGTCAGGGACGCGGATGGAAATTATAGGGTTAACACACGCTCTGACACCTTCAAGAAGGTTGAAGAGAACTTTCAGAATGTTCTTGCGTTCAGGAAGAATCCAGATGGCTCGCCTTTGGAGCTGGCGGAGGGCGCAGAACCAGAAAAGAGGACTTCATCAACCGAGCCCGCGCTGCAAGCATCCGCCAGTTTCAAGTGTCGAGTCCAATACTGGAACCACGTTGACCAATACTGCAACCATATTGACCAATGCTGCAACCACATTGACCAGTACTGCAACTACATTGACCGATACCGCAACCACGTCAACCGATCCTACATCCACTTCGACCGATCCTGCAACCACGTCGACACTCACCAGCTCGGTATGATTCCTCTTCTTTCAGGAGTCTGTCTCGCTAACCCAACTTCCCAGGGCCAGACACAGACAGCATCAACATCAATCACAAACACAACAGGGGCCGCTCCAAACTATGACCGGTTCGACCGGAGCAATGATTGGCTGCAGGTGCAGCAATCGGGCCTTGCCGCTCTCGCCAACGACACGGAGCCTGAAGTGACTTGGATTAGCACTTCTACGTCCACAAGCCTTCCCTCTGCGAGTTCTTAATGGACATTCCTGCTGGAGTGTCACATCTCAGTGAATCTAACCATCTTTGGAAAGAGATCGCAAGAAGTTGATTATCGTTGGAAGTGGCACAAGAGATAGAGATAATAGAAGACGATAAGTAATCAGATCTGTTTCCTATTAATATATAGCTCTTCCAGTTGCTGATATGGAACACTGAATCGAGATGTGAATTAAGGTTATATCAAAGAAAGTGTTTGCTAGAGCAGCAGGCGTTCTTAGGTATGTACTGTAAATGTACGCATCTTGTTACACAAACTGTTTGCTGGTTTCTGATCATATGATCCAATATGAAGCTTTGCTTTGTTGTCTTTTTTTTTGTTTTTGGAATTCTACCAATGAAACCAGGCCACGAGCATATTTCGAAAAGGAAAAAAAGTAAGAGGCGTTATGAATGGATGAATGGATTTCCGTCATTATTGAAATAGAAGTATGTGACTCGAAATATTATTGAATTCACTTTCCATACGGACAACAATCGCAAGAACACTAATCCTCCAGCAGCTAGAAATGCGAAATGAAGGACTATTCGTATCTACCTAGGTTAGCTGATGATCAGTTAGTTACTAGCAGAGATCCAGTGATAATCCTAATCCTTAAGTATCTGTTTTACAAACGCGGTGGCAGAGATTCCAAGTTTTGAATTTACAGGAAATAAAATAGCCTAAAAAGGACATTTAATATTGTCTCTCTGGGTTGTCGAGTTTTAAATGATATCTCCATACAAGCCAACCGATTAGTGTCTTAAGACTGACCTTCCTGTCCTATACTACTACGAGTATATCTGGTTTACAAGCTCTATTATGCACCTAATTTAAGTAAAATATACTTAACGTACTGACGCAGTCCAGCGCCAAGGGTGACGTCGCACAAGTATCAAACGGACATATCCAGCTAGACAGAACTCGAAATCATTTGTGTCCTTTCAATAGTGCATGACTCGTAACAATCCCAATAGGGCCAATCCCCATATCAAGTGATTAGAATCTGTCCAAGTTTGTGGCATATAAAGCAGCGTCATTTCTCAAACTGTAGGAAACAACGACACAACTTTCCTACTTTCATGCCTTTCTAATCAAACGGCGTTGTCATTGTCATCATGAAGTTTCCCACTGCAGTGCTCATTCTTTTCCTTAGTCTGCTGAGCTTCTCTCTGGCCCAGAAGCAGCCCTGTTACAACCAGTAAGCACGCATTCACTCTTTCATTCATTTCAATGAACATGATGAGAGGAAAAAATGCTGACTTGGTTATTAATTACAGGGCTGATCCAGACAACGGGATGGGCAATTACTGCTACTGCCAGGGAGACAGTGAGTTGGCTGTTTACCTAGTGTTCATGGTCGACTTTCGAAATACATCGAAATGATACTGATCCTGATAATTCTCCATCACAGACACATGCTATTTCGGCGGCGGCGGTCCAGACCCTTGCAACCCTGTTGGCCGGCCGCTTGGAGGATGTCCTGCCCCGGTTCACTAGTGGGATTTTCAAGTAGTTAAGAGGAATCGTTATGCTTTTGGAAAATGAGCAGCGGTGGTCTGCACTTCATAGTCCTGCGTTTTGATTAGATGGCGTGCCATGAGGAAAAAATAATATGAACTCCCGAAAGTATTTCTTGCAAATCACATAGCTTTTCTCCGCTCAACTACTCGTAAATCCGTGAATTGCCGAATCGGGAAAATAGATCTGTATACAATGTCCCTGTCCTACAGGGTATAGTATTAGTTCTGTTTTAATCAGTGCACCACAATTTACGCCATCTTACCTGCAGTCAAAGACTCGTTCTTATGAACTGTACATGCAGGAATGTAGAAGTAGTACAAGTACTTAAACCGCTCAATGCTTAAACTCGGTTAGTGTTCAGTCTCTTTCAGAGGATGATCTACCAGGCCACGCTCATTATGGACAGCTATATGCAGTCAGGAATATGTAACCTGACAGGTCAACTATGTCGAATAAGGAATGATCGTACTGATGTCGAATGCTGTTTGGATATAGACCGCATACTACGGAATCTCGGCAATATGTCTTGCATTTCTTTGTTCTCATGAATCAAGGCCTAGGGATATAAACCTCACTCTGCCTCTGGAAGACCTAGATGACAGAAATACCATCTACTACTTCATTCCTCTCCTAAACACGTATCAATCATCTTACTGAATTCCACTGTTTATAGCAATGAATCTTCTCCGTGCAATTCCAACTCTTTTCATCCTTTCGAGCGTCATCGTCTCAGCTCATGCTGGGGTTCTCGATGGAATCCCGCCACCGAACTACGGCGTAAGATCATCCATCATCCATCCATCCATTTTCTCACATCTCGGTATATATATCATATACTGAACAATCTCAGCAATGCAACCCAAAAACCCAGGTTTGCCAGTACAAGGACCCCGGTGGACTGTGCACTTGTGTAAGTGCTACTACTACCTTCTTACTTGATGGACGACGTGCTCTGACAAGAATCGACTGCAGGCGGATTCCCAGTGCGAGGTCAACAATGGGTTTTGCTACTATACTTATGGGTTTGACAAGTGCGTTTGTCGGTAGGATGGCGGACAAATCAGGATGAAGTGATTATGGATTTTTCTTGATGAGGAGGGTCTTGTTAGCTGCGGCTATTATAAGATATTTATAAGATATTTACATGCGATGTGTTTGGTCCACAGATTCTTATTTGGTCACATGCTGTTTTGGAAGTGATGTCTTGTCAATCTTTCGTATCGATTGTCACCTCAGGTCAGTCATTATAATCTTCCTCCGGGAAGAAATATATACAGCTTCGAAATCATTTATTTTCAATCTTAGATAAAATTAAGAACAAGCAAAGAAGAAAGTCTACAAAAAAAAACAAATTTTGATACAAAAAACATTAGATGTAGCCCTATCTACGGAGATACTACTTCGCTTAGTTACCATTTATATCTCCCATCCTTGTCATGAATTAAGATGCACTCTATCAGTACCGTACTGACATACTGTACATCTCCAGATCTTTATTAGGGTCTGGCGGGGCAAAACACAATACAGATGCAAACACGGCTGGTGGGTTATCTGGCCAATCACGACTCAGAATCTATCTTATCGCCGAGCGGGATGTAACACCGTTACCGATCTCGTTACATTACAACGTCGATCCCCCACATGCCTTGCTCCAGGCTTAAACTCTCAACAGGACAACATCCATCCTCAACGATCCTGTACCCCTTCATGGCACTCACGCCATGACAGCTGAACAAAACTTCCTGTTCTCCCCCTCCCTCATCTCCCCCGCCGTCGCATCCTCCTTTCCGCCCGGGTATACGATCCGCCCCCTCGCCCGGGACGACTACCACCGCGGCTTCTTCCAATGTCTGCAGACGCTGACCGCGACGGGGGACATCACGGAACAGCAGTTCCTGGAGCGGTACGACTGGATGAAGGCGCACGGGCAGGAATGGTACTACTGCGTGGTGATTGTCGATGAGCGGAACGATCGCATAGTCGGAACGGGCGCGATGGTTGTGGAGAGGAAGTTGTACGTACAGTCACCTACTACACACATACGCAGAGAGAGAGAACTGACTCACTGGTTTATTTTCTCAGCATCCACAACCTCGGCACAATCGGACACATCGAAGACATCTCCATCTGCAAAGACCACCAGGGCCAAAAGTTCGGCCTCCGGCTCATCAACGCGCTCGACTCGATCGCCGTCAACGTCGGCTGCTACAAGACGATTCTGGACTGCGCAGAGCGCAACGAGGGCTTCTATGCCAAGTGCGGGTATTCGCGGGCCGGGGTCGAGATGGCACATTACTACGAGGAGGCGAAGAGTGAGTATGAGCGGGGATGAAACAGTAGACAGAAACAAAGTTTTGGTACGAATGAAGAGAGTTTTTGATGAACGATATCTATTCATGCGATAAGTATATGATATCTATGGACTACAGCTTCGCTCTACGCGTCTTCTCTCTGTCGCGCAGCAGCCGTCGCAGGATCTTCCCGCTGGGACTCTTGGGGATCGTGTCAACCACCTCGACGCCTCCCTTCAGCCACTTGTACCGCGCCTTGTGCTGTTCGACGTGCGCAGTCACGGATTGAATGAGTTCGGATGTGCTGCCAGTAAAGGAACTGCTCTTCACGATAAACGCTTTGGGCACTTCTCCGGCCGCCTCGTCTGGCACAGGGATGACAGCCGCATCAGCGACTCCGGGATGCGTCAGGAGATGCGCCTCCAGCTCGGCGGGCGCCACTTGATGGCCCTGTGCAGGTCAGACACCACACCAGTACAACGATTCCATGGTGTACACACCTTCACCTTGATCAGCTCCTTGATTCGGTCCACCACAAACACATGCTCGTGGCCCTTGGCGCTCTTCCGGATGACCGCCTCATCGCCTGTCCGCAGCCACCCATCGACAAAGGTTTCAGCAGTGGCCTTCGGGTTGTTCAGATAGCCCATCACGACAGGCGGACCGCGCACGACGAGCTCTCCGGGCGTGTCGTATTCGTGGATCTCTGACCCATCCGGAGCGAGCAATTTAGCCTCATAGCCGGGGAGCAGAGAGCCACAAGAGCCGTAATAGACATCGTGCGTGCTGGTGTGTGAGATGACAGCCGTAGATTCAGTGAGACCTAGCACGATTAGTCTGTTTTCCTCTTTCCTGGTTGAACAGGTAACTACCGTATATTCCTCGAATAATCCACGACGGATGCTGCTCCTGCAGCTGACTGGCCGTCTCAGGGCCGAGGTGTGCAGCGCCGCTGTAGATCTCCCGCACACTGCTCAGGTCGTAGCGGTCCAGCACGGCCTTGTTGTTAGTCATGACGATGATGGTTGGGGGGACCTGCAGAGACCACGTCAGTAGACTAAGCATTCGTCTACAACCGGCACACATCCTACCAAAATCAACGCATTGATCTTAAACCGCTGGATCGACTCCAACAGCGTGACGAGCTCGAACTTGGGCAAGACAATGATCGAATCGCCCCGGTACACGCCGTCGTGGCAGATGACGACCAGCCCGTAGATGTGGCTTTGCGGCAGCAGGCCCAGGATCGCATCGCGCTGGTCTTCGCGGCGAGTCGGGCGCTCAAACGCAGCCATCATGAGTACGTGCGCGATGACGTTGACGTGGGAGATCATGACGCCTTTCTATATATCGTCAGCAAGCATGCTGTCATCTAGCTACATACCTCTAGAATCCTGGAGAGGATCCTGGGGGGAATTACTTACCGGCAAGCCAGACGTCCCACTGGAATAGCACAGAAACGCACATTGTCTCTTCCCCTGGCCCTTCTGCCAACACAGCGGCTGCAGCGGCGGCAATCTCGATCCCTCCTCGATCAGCGCATTGACCGTTTTGAACTTCCTCGTCTCTGCGGGATCGCTGTCATCGCAGACCGCGCTGTCGATGACATAGATCCTGTTGTCGGAAATGCCGCATTTCGCCGCTGCGTCACGGGCAGTATGCAGGAGTGAGGCACACGTAAAGACGGCCTTGGAGCCAGACGACTGCAGCTGGTGCGCCAGCTCCGACACGGAGTAGGATGCATTGGCGGGCGAGGCGATGCCGGACAGACGGTGGATAGCCCAGTAGAGAGGGAGGGTATCAATCTAGGCCAACCCAATCAATAACCATACGCAAACACTCTGCCGGAGATAGATATATCATACCGTATTGACAGAAAAAATAGCAGCAACCTTATTCCATTCCGACCCCTCGTTCGGCGCCCAGTTCAGTTCCTTCGCCAACCCCCGCGCCAGCGCGTCCACCCTCTGCTTGACTTCTGTCGCGGTGTATCCTCGACCGGTAATGCCGCAGACGAATGGCTTTCTGGCTGTGGCCAGCGGAGCGCGGCCGTATGCGTCGTTGAGGATGAACTCGCAGATTGGGACGTCATCGGGGATGGAGTCGGGGGAGAAGTTGGGGAGCCACGACGGGGGTGTGAAGACCATTGATAGGTACAAAGAAAGAAAGATGTATGGCTGGAAAGTATTGGTTACAGATGTACTCGATTAGTATCTGAGATTTCGATGATGTGCTAATAATAATATGAGTTGATGAAGAGAAGCTGAGGCTGACTGACAGACAGGGATGACCTAGTCAGGTCTACTCCGTACTGACTAGCGTACAGCATCCAGCAATCAAAGCATGACCGTTACCCGTCCCCCATATCCGACATGCGGGGAAGCTTGGGGAAGCTTTGTCTTCCCCACATTCGCAGATCGTATCCGACTCCCAACCGGAATCCCGAGGTAATGGACCGCGGTTATGCAATGACATCAGGCAGAGCCTAAAGACAGGGATATGGTCTTGCCAGTAAATAGCATCTTCGTTGGATGGGCAGTTTGTCTGCATGGCCCAATGGTGTGAGCGGTATTTTAAATATAAATCGTCATTCATTTATTACCACTCTGCGCGTTTATTGCCATATATATATATATATTTCGAAACCATAGTCTCCACGCAAGCACACATACTCTTACATCAACATCTAATGCTGTACAGTACATCCCAATTAGCTGTTTAATGCCCACTGATCTAGACAAAATAAATGAAACAATAACTGTAAGCACATCCAATGTCCTATTTACGACGTGATAACAGTTAAAATACATGACCTATCTCATCCTGCAATGATATCATGGTTCCTTTCTTCTTTTAATGCATGAACTTGATAAGATGACAGCCTGCGGAGAGATGTGCTTTTAGTCCATTATGGAAGCTTGTTCAGACGTGTAGTTCGACATTACATTCATTCTTTTTTTTTAAGGAACGAAAAGTAAATAATTGTCCGAAGTACTTTATACCCAGACTAACCATCATCAACTAGACCAGCGCAAGGCATATCTCAGACGTGTCCTTGATCAAAGAACAGAACAGCACAGCCCATGATAACGTCGACAAAGATGTCAGTAAATGTCGGATGCAGACACTTTACGGAAGTTGTTTTGATAGTACGAGTCTGTACGACTAGAAGACACCAGAAGTGCCCGTGACACCGTGGAATATCGCATGTCAATTCAGTGGAGTCTATTTCGTAGGAAATGTATGTACATGCTTGTCGTCTCTGTATATGTACCAAATATTCATTAAGACGCAAAAGGAAAAAAAAACAAGAAAGTAAGAAAAAGGAAAACAATAAGAGATAGCTATGCATTTAGACCTACGTTTGAATTCTCATCACTATACCTCTACTTAAAAATAGGAAGTTCCTATCAATAAGATTAATCTAGTCTATGTAACGATAAGAAGGTAAGATAATATCTAAAAAAAGAGGGATAAATATAGTATTAAGCTCAGAGGTCATAGGGGAAAATATACCAGAACCATATCTGAATATGGTAGTCATACCTCTATCTGTCTAACTTTATCCTTACCAGGTGTAGATAGGAAAACTGAATCAGCAGCATTTCTTTCTTGACAAGACCTGATATAATACAAGTAGATCCGCAGAGCCTGGACTCTTGATAAGCGCCGATGGTCGTCCAGGCTATGGTTAGCTCGTGTATTAGCATAGACTACACCAGCTTGACTGTGTCAGCTTGTTGAAATGCTGCATCATTGCAATGTGGTTTGCAAGACAAGAACTTTCTCTCTAGCTTTCCGTTTATTGTGACTAAAAGCCGTGCTAACATATGTACGGTACATCTTCAATCAGAAGGTATAGTCTAGTAATGCGCCTTTAAAGCATCTGCAAGAGCTTAATATGCATGCGTTTGCAAGTAGAAGCATAAATGTACCGTCTCCAACATCCTTCTAGAGAGGATTTTCAATCAATCGCGCCATTCCTTAACGTTCAAAGATTAAATCTGGCAGCAAGAAGCTCCAGACCGTTTTCTGTAGTTTTTCTCCGGATCTTCTCGTCTTCAAGCCCTGAGGTTTTTGTACGATCTCTTCCCCCAATTTTGGTGAATAGCTGCCTAGGCCACTCATTCACTCCAAACATTCACCAGACTCCACTTTTCTATTCACTTCTCACCGTGTCTTACCCTCCTTCCCTTTATATAAATGTCAACTCATACTGGGCAATCTTCAAATCTTCTCTTCTCCGCTCTCTTCTCTCACTTCTTCGATATCAAACCGTCTAGCCTCCCAAAGAAAAACTAGCGGGCGGAATTCAAGCAAAATTTGAGAACTTCTTATCCGGTCTCAAGAAGAGGCGATTAAATCCTCCCTCCAGGGTGCCACAAAAAGGGAGAAAAAAAAAACTTAGCCTCGAAAAGATTACTATTATCAGTGAATCTTGATGAGAAGGAGGTACGCAACAAGAGTCCTGTCCTGCAGTTTCAAGAGCTAAATCACTAATCATGGTCAGACCAAAGAATTCGGGCCTTGAATATGCTTCGCAAGGTTCACCCAAAAACGACAGCTCGCCGACTGGAACAGTCTTTATCGTGACTACCTAGATCTTTTCTACCCATTCCAAGTCTAATGAATTCATAGGATGATCCACCATGCACGAAAGGAAACAGGAAGAAAGCACACCACTATCTTCGGAATCTCCACCGACAGTTATTCTTTCAACTGGACAAGACTGTCGGATAAGCAGCCTGCAAGTTGGAAGGATCTTAAGGATTCAAGCATCTAACCAAGAGCTTTCGCTTACGTTAAACTGACTCTTTGGCCATCTCAAACGCTCAAGAACCCACGCCAAAGCCTTTTTAAACCCTTTTACCAAGAAATTTCCCTTCTCAGAGGTAAGTCGAGCAGTGGTCATCCTTGCAATTCTCTTCTCACTGGGGTTTGTGCGAGATCTCATTCGTATATAAATTATGCAGGTTTCAACAATGCACTTGTACGCCCCAAGACCAATTGAATTGATTGTCTCTCATATTCGGCAGATTATCCGACAAACGCTTCTCAAGGCTGAATTACGCACGGCCAGAAACATGATGATCTCAACGTCCAGCACCAAACACCTAATATCCGCGAAGGACACCATATGCCAATCATGAAAATATTTTCAACACTTTCCAATCCTTCCATTTCATACTCTTCGTTATCGCTGGTCCTAGATGCGCGCAGAATACCTCCATTCGTATGTATACGGATGATTCCGACCATCGCGGCGAATCCTATTCTCAGGAACAATCCACCTACCCTCCCGGCTCAGATACAGGCTATTCGGCAAGATTTCCAGCAGAGCATTGTTTCCATTGAGAAGGATATACCGCGACTGGGTGCAGACGCAAAGCATGATGGGTGTCGCAAATTTCAAGACTATTTCCACACACGCTTCTAGATACTCGCCGATCGTGCTGAGTATCTAGTGTTCAGGTCAACAACTCACGCAAGGGTTGCCCTGGGCCCATCGCCTGCTCCATCCAAGGACACGTGATCGTGGATCTCTGCGTCCACCGACCACGGTGCATTCGCCCCCGCGGGATGAGGTCCAGTGCTGTCTGACACTGAAGGAGAGTGACCCAGAGGGTGAGCCAGACCCTATGCCGACCTTCCAGCCGGGCAGACGAGCTGCAGAAACTGTCTTTATCCGAAGTCGCTGGGGAATTCTCATTCACCGTTCTGGCATACAGATTCGCTAATGGGTTTAGTACATCCACAGCACACCTATTACAAAATACATCAACCAAATCAACGATGAATTTCTAGAAGAGGAAGTTGATCACCTTTGGACCAACATCTTTTGTCATTACTTCCTTATAACTCAGTTTGGCCTAGAAAGGGAAAGCCACCCAGATCCTGGTCAAGACAGGAAGTCCAATATTATAGTAATAAATATTAGAAATAACACGCTGCACAGAGTGATAATCATGGAGAATAAGCGCAAGTGGACTTGGAGAAACCCTCACACTCATCGCCAAATCGAATTGACAGATATGGAACGCCTGGTTTCTTCTTGGATTTGATACCTAAAGTGGGTGGTGGTGGTAATAAGTAAGTTTGAAATTCGTTTTGAAATTCGTTCTCTCATTGGATGTCGAGTCTAAAAAGTACGGTCAATGATCGACAATTGGCCTTTCTCCGAGCGACCGTGGGTAACGCTGGTGCGTTTACCGGATTTCAGATCGTGGACAACTATGGCGGCTATCTTGACACGGGCTCTGGTATATTTTCGCTGAAGGCATTTCGGAGGCTGATCTAGATTCACTTGCTCGCACTGCTGCAGATGGTTTCCAAGAGGTGACAGCCCAGGAAAATGACGACTATCGTGCACGTCTCAAACGATGGGGCAGGAAACAACATCTCAGTGGTAAAACGCTGGAATGCTCGCTCAGAGAGGTTCTTGTAGTTTGCCTATAAGCCCAGACGAAGCTCTGCTTGATTTGTGTGCCTTGCTTGAAGCAGTCACTGGATGTATCCCTGTTGGTTCGTGGTCATTGATTGAGACCTTCTGAACGACGCCACGCATGAAATCATTTGCTTTTCTCTTAGGATCGATCAATTGCTCAATGCATTCCCCTATCGCTATTCCTCATGCACTCCGCGGTGCTTACTTAACTATCAAGGAGGAAAGATGAAGCTCTGCATCATGTGCTGGACTTTATCTGTACATACATTACGTTTGGGGCAGTTGACTCTCAAAACAATACAACCCTCTATATGTCGTCTCGACTAAAAGAAAGACAAGATTCTGTTGCTGAATAGAAGAAAATAACGACTAGACTAGACTAGACTACGTAAAGGTGTCCAATTGCAATCAATCTGTGTTATATTCTCAGTATAATGGACAAGATAAATAATTGTAAGCAGTACTATCACGAAAATAAATAAATAAATAAATAAATAAAATAAAATAAAATAAATCGAACCATCTTTCAACTAGTTGAATATAATTTCCATATAGATCCATGTACTGTACTGTACAAGTCGAGGCATACTAATGCCATTCTATTCTAGATGTGGTATCTAAAAGTAAGAGACAAAATAAAAGCTAAAAAATCCGCACAGATAGTTGAATTTAAAAAAAAAAAGAAGAAGAAGAAGAAGAGCATATTCACGTCCTACAATTTATATACATTTTCCATCTCGACTTGACCAGATCAGGAAAACGCTCCCTAACTGACTGATTATTGATGGTATACAATCAATCCTCCAGCTCGCTTTCCTGCTTGCTTTCTTGCCAAGAACAACCCCACCAGCAGGATTTGTTTGTTGGGAAGACCAGACCAGACCAACCAGTCTTGTAATATTACTATTTCATTCAGATCAGCTTGTCAGTTCGTCGAGTTCGTCTGGAGGTGATCGGTGATCCATTAAATCCTGATCGGAGGCATCGGCCCCAACTAAGTTCCGTGCCGGATAGACATTGGTAATATGCATGTATACCTGCATTATTATTATGATTTTTATTGTTATTTTTTTTCTCTCTGAGTAAATAATAATTTCTTTTCGTTATTATTTTTTTCGCTGATATTAATAGTCATTAGTCGTATAATGTACAGTACAGTACAGTACACTGTGAAATACATACATGTGTGGTATTAGTATACAGCATGTAGAGATGTATTATTTATCTGACGTCGCATCCGAGCTAAATAATAACCTCCGACATCGCATCGCATGACGTCGTCACCAACCAACCCAAACCAACCTCCTTGGCTATGGAGCTTGTGACAAACAGTTCCAGCTCGACTCCATCGGAGACATCTACTGAATAGGCAGCTGCAGCTGGCGTAACTTGTCTTGTCGGAGGTGGATCACCGGCAGTCGGTCGTATGCAATGCGATGCGATGGCATGGCGGTTTGCTTGGAATTAGTTAGATATGTCATGCGTATACATATAGTCAGATAAATCGTGATTTTTTTTCTCACGATATATACGACGAGATTGATGCCGTCTATATATCATAACCATCTAGATCATTCTACTCATCCCAAGTGAACGCTATGCAGCCCATCCTCATCATCGGCGCCGGCATCACCGGCCTGACTCTAGCGCAAGCCCTGCGCAAACAAGGCATCCCCTTCCGCATCTTCGACCGCGATGCGTCGCTGACCTCGCGGCATGGCGGATGGGGGCTGACGGTGCACTGGGCGCACTCGCTGTTCTGCACCTTACTGCCAGCAGAGGTCGTGCAGCGCCTGGAAGAGTCGCACGTCACGCGCGAGGCGCTCGACACGGGCGACTATGGCCGGTTTACGCTGTTCGATCTGCGGACGGGAGTCGCCAAGTACAATGTGCCTGCGGCGAAGAGGATGCGGTTCAGTCGGGCGACGCTGAGGGAGATTCTGGCGATGGGGGTTGACGTGGAGGTAGGCCACACGATATACACAACAGTGATATTCATGTCACATACTAATTGGAACAGTGGTCCAAACGATTAATAGCTGTTGATAGCCTCGACGACCGTGCCATCGCCCATTTCGACGATGGCTCCTCCGTCCAGGGCTGTCTGGTCGTCGGCTGCGATGGCTCGCGCTCTCGTCTCCGTCAGATTCTGTATCCATCGTCGTACCAGAACAGACACATCCCTGTCCGCATGCTGGGCGTCTCGACTCGGTACTCGGTCGAGCAGGTTGCAGCAGCGCGCGCCATCGATCGATACTTTTTCCAAGGCACGCATGGCGCGTCGGGCGTGTATCTGTTCTTCAGCTGTGCGTGCGCCAGCCAGAGATTCACAAAGTTTGTTTACTGACAGTGTTGTAGTCCTCGAAACACCACACACCTCGCCCGCGCAGACAGACTACCTCTGCCAGATCGTCATCTCGTGGCCCGAGGCGAAAGGCCTCGCCATCCCAGCCAGCAACGAGGACCGGGTCGCTGTCATGAAGCAACTGGCCGCCGACTGGGCGGAGCCATTCCGCTCTCTGGTGCAAAACATCCCTCCAGATGCGCAAGTCACATCGATCAACGTCGAGGACTGGCTCCCAAGTAACAGTAACTGTAACGCGCGTGGACACGGGCGGATGGTGCTGATGGGCGATGCGGCTCATACGATGACCATGTGTGAGTACTTACATAAAAGCAGTTTTTTTTCTGCTGAGATACTGACTTTTTTACAATACAGTCCGCGGCGACGGCGCCAACCAAGCCATAGCCGACGTGCACTCCTTCATGCTACGAGTCGCGCCTCTGCTGACACCTCGCAACGACGTATCATTTACAGACCTGCGCGCCCGCATCGATGACTACGAAGACGAAATGCAGAACCGCGCGCGGAAGGCAGTGGCAGACTCGAGTCGGGCGTGTCTCCATGCGCATCAGCTGGATCTGATCGATGAGGAGAGTCCGCTGGTTGCGCGGAGACTGCAGCAGGCGCGTGCGAGGGTCTAGCAGACAGGAAAATAAAACGTTTGTTTGTTCGGATTTGTAAGGATAGATACCCTGAGACAGTTGTATTGCGCAATAGGTTTGTTTGGTTTTGATAATTAGTACTGTTGTGATGCAGATGTTCGTTCTATATTTCTAATTCTGGATTGAAGTGTTAGCCATCGCATTAATCAACGCAATTAATTAATTCCCTTGAGAAAAAAAAAACAAATCGCTCCAGGAATAGTAGTCTTCTAATGAGAATGGTTATTCCAAGTTCTTGCTTTGCGTCGCTTTGTTTCCAGTTGAGCCGCTTGCGGTATGCGCCATATCCAGGGAGTCTTCTTTGTTTACAATTACACTGGCAATTCCCAGGGTTTACTATAAGATTAAATTCCGGACGTCTTACATTAATTAGATATACTTCAATCAAATTATGTTCGTCTCTATACTGTATGCACGGCTATATACAATATCCCAGCATGATACCATCTATATATCGACAAGAAATGCAAAATCTATAATATAAAAACACAGCTCCTCCGTACTGTATATCATCTACTCGTTCATCGCCCTCACGGGCACCTCCACCCTCCACAAGACCACCGCCACCACGCCAAACAGCCCCGTGGCCAGCATCCAGGCCAGCCCCGTCCAGAACCCGCCCAGATCGAGCCCCCACTTGAAAAAAGTCGTCATCGTCGGACTGGCCAGGATCATCCCCAGCGCCTGGATGATCTCGATCACCGTGTACAGCCGCGCCGTCTGGTCGCGCTGGATCATCGTCGTGACCAGCGAGCGTGTCGTGTACACGAAGCCCGCGCCCAGGGTCTGCACGACCAGGAAGAAGATCATGAGCGCCACGTGGGGCGACAGCCCGATCCCCAGCGTGCCGATCATCAGACTCACAACGCTGACTTTGGTCAGGATGAGGTCCTTCTTCCGGCTCTCGATGCCGCGCTTTTTCATCAGGTACCACGACGCGGCCGGCAGCACTGCGATGAACAGCACGACCATCAGGATCGACTTGAGCGACGTCAGCATGTTGGCCGCTGCAATCGTCCAGCCGTACCGCACCGACACGTACTGCGTCAGGAACCACGCCGTGCCCCGGCTGAGTCGGTAGACCAGAAAGGCCGACAGCAGCAGCATCACCTGCTTGTTCTTGGGGATGAACGAGTAGGTCAGTAGCGCCGACTTGATCCGGGTTCGCAGATCCTTGGGGCGCGTCTGCTTCTCGAACGGCCGGTCGAACTGTTCGTCGCGCTCATCGTCCGTCGACAGATCCGAGAGTTCATGCGCCTGCTCGCCCGGCTTGGACGGGAACGCATGCATCGTCTCGGGGAGCGTCAATCCCAGCAGCATGCCAACCAGGACGATGGCCCAGCCGATCAACATGGGAATCCAGGGATTGAAGACCATCAACCACGAGCTGATCGAGTTGGACAAAAACTCGGACCCCATGACCGCGACGCCGAACTGGAAGAACATGGCCGATCTGATCGCTGTCAGCTTGAGACTCCCCAGCGAAAGGGACGAGAACTCACCTCTGTTCCTCGGTCGTCACGTCGGCCATCATCGTCCAGATAATGGCTGCTGCAACCACCAACCCACCGCCAATCAGCCACGACAGGGCGGACAGCCAGACCGCCCGCAGGGGGAAGATATTGGAAAAATACAGCGTGACGCCGGTGATGAGGATATTCAGGACGAAACCGGGGATGCTCAGCAGGATCGTCGGCTTCCGGCCAATGCGATCAGCCAGAAGGCCGTACGGCACCGCGAGGAGAATACTGGCGACTCCGTCAAACAGCTCTCCGTATCCCTTGACGATGGCCACCTCACCCTGGACCTCTTTACCCTTGCACAGGCTCTCGGGGACCTGCCCATCGCTCCCGATCTTGGACGGGTCAGTGGCCTCGTAGTAGCTCTTGCAGGCGATGGCCTCGTAGATGCGCGTGGTGGGCCCGGACGTCATGGCGTTGCCGGTCTCGACGAGGAGGATGATGGTGAACAGGGTGACCATCAGTCGGATCCGCAGTTTCTCGCGCGACGCGGCCGCAGCCTTAGATTTGGCTTGCGAGGGCCGAGCAGAGGCCTGCTCCGCCAGGAAGGGCGCATCCTCGCGGTCCTCGAAGCGGGCGTCATCGGGGTCCGGCTGCGCGCTGTCGGCGGGCTGCATGCTGTCGAACGGCAAGTCTCGTCAGGGAGAGTGCTGTCGACGTCGATTCTATTCCATCGCAGTGAGACGAACTCGTGTCCTATGCAGCGCGACGATTGTCCGGTAGATGATGAGGAAAGCAGCGGCAGAGGCCAGCTATAATTATCCGCGGGTCGCCATCTGGCGCGGATCGGCCGGATGGGCCCGCTGCGAATCGCTTCGGCCCCTCGGATGTGGCGGTGCTGCACAGCTGACGGAAATGTCAAATAAATACCTGAAATGTCAGGACTCAGAATAAACTACTCCGTGTCTGCATCAGACCAAGAGGATGCTCTTCCTTGCATCGATGACAGCTGCCTGGTGACAAAAGGCGGGGTTGTGCGACCCTATCGATAGCGCCGCAGCCCCAACAACCACGACAGGAACATCCAGATCGACAAGTCGTTAAAAGGGAGGAATGCTGCATTTGATAATCTGATCGATGAATTAACAGGATGGCGAGATCTGAGTGCTATTTTTCTCAACAGAGATTCAACAGAAGGCGATATTTTTCGTTGCAAAACTTGGTATGAATTTCATACAGCAGAATTCTCTCGAGTTCGTATTCCTCGATCATTCAGCTAAGGATGCATTTCATTCCTGTTCCATAGAGATTCATTTCAATCCATCGTCCTGTTAATAAACTCCAGTGGAAAGCAGCAGAAGATCCTCCACAAGAACGCGAAGTAATTGTAGCCCCGGTTGCTTGTTAGTCACGTGTGTCCTCATGTGGTTTCTAACACGCCTCTTCGCCCTCATCAGCACAGTCTTTTGGCTAGTGATAGTTGGTTGTTTATTTCGAATAACAGGGGTCATGCCCGTTGTGTTCAGCCTTAGTACGTGGCAGCCTTGAAGGCCTTATTTGCAGCGGTGGCATGGTCTGTGAAACGGTGAGTATGTGTAAACAAGCCAGTAGGGTATCTATCCAGAACCTTGCCCCGGAAAAGCCTGGAGATGATTGATGACATATACGACTGTTTGATGGAAACTGGATTCTTGTGCCAGGTGAATTATGGGTGGGGCTGGAGACTATGTATTCTTTGATCCGAAGACAACAAGATAATTATTAACTATTACTTTTCAGTACTCCGTACTCTCGGGTGCCACCGAATTCCCCTTCTCAGTTTAGCGTTCCTATTTTGGAATAGTACCGTGATGCCGCATCGCGTGTCAATAATATTCACCGCGAATTCCATGGCCGCCGTATAAATCTTGTGGCCTCCCCTCGGCGCTGCCAACATCCTCCATCAACCTGATTTATTTTTCACCGTTCTATGCGATTCCACGCCATCTTCGCTCTTGACCCACACCGCCCCTCCTCTGCGCCGTGTTTCCTTGCTTTGCTTGCTTCTCTCAGCCTCGTTCGCCGGTCTCCTGACGCGCGACCGGAGAGCAACCTGAAGAGACGCTCAAAGTCATCTCCCGAACTCTCCGCAAGTGCTTTAACTATCTTGACTCTTTCATTATGAGTGAGTCTGGTCCTGATATTTGCTTGTTCCCATTCATTATCACCGTCATTATTGTTGCTGTTGCTGTTGCTGGTGCTGTTGCTAACATTTTGAGATCTATCTAGGGAATTGCTTGTACCATGCAAGTTGGCTGGTGGTGGGGCAAGAAATTCCTTCGCATATGGCAGCTGCGTGGCAATCCCGATACCGGTAGCAATCAGTGTAACCGAGTCGTACTCGCTGATATCTTTACATTCTCCGTATGGCCCATCAAGGAGAACTCGGAGCTGCTTGTGGGGGGTTGTTGACAACGCTCTAGTGAATCCTGATTCGATCTTGGCCAACAGGGAGATCCTCACAGCTTTACCGTCTGGCCCATCCTCCCACCAGATCAGGGTGAACGGGTGCGATTCGGCAAAGCTCCAAGGACGGACGCCTGGAGCTCGAACATAGACATACTGACCGGCGCGAGCCTTGAAGGGCCGCGGTAGCTGGATCGTCAACTCCACCGCACCTTCGTGCTTCACCACATCGGCGAGCGCCAGTGGTTGGCCGGCAACCATATTGCGGAAAATGAACTGCACGGCATGCAGGACAGAATTCAAAGATAGTAAGGCAGCTATGGTAATAAGACAGATTGCATTAAAGCCCTGCCGTCGTTCCAAGTGCATCCACACCATCACGGCTGTCAGAATTCCCAGCAACATATGAGCCTTCATTGAGAGTTCATAAAACCACCAGCGGATCCAAGGCATTGCGACCACGACGAGCATCACCAAGGCAATGCTCGCCTGTACCTAGGCTGTTAGTGAAAGCCAACCAAGAGAAGAGAAGGGGCCATAGACTATGAAGCCAAATTGAACGAGCTGATTGTTCAGGTCGAACGACACATCTCGAACCGCGGCTACCATGTGAACGACGCTCTGTAAAAACGCCATCAGCCCTAGCGCTCCATGCAGATGATAGTACGCCAGCAGAGGCAGGCCCATGTAATCAGCAGCCTGGCTCAGGTGGGGAGAAAAAAGCGTTGGGACTAGATGCAGCATCGCGAGAGATCCAGCCCGGGAACGAGCTTCCGTGAGGCTGTGGACCCCTAGAACATTGCAGGCCAAAGTTCCTCCAACATGAAGCAGATGGAGGCAGGCGCGGAACCGGCTTATTGGGCCCCAGAGACGGCGACGTTGTAGTAAATAAGGGTGAACAATGTGCCTGGCGAAAAGAAACAGGAGATGCGGGTTGAGGATGTAACGGAGACAGCGGACGATGTACCGGTGGAGTAGTAGAAGCGCCAGGCACCCGGCGACAAACGTAGGCATAGATCGACAAGACATCCATAGCGCAATTCTCAATAGCAAAAGACCTGTCAGCTAAGTAAAACAAGTTGCACATCTAATTTTGGGGTTGTTACCATTTTTATCGTCCGAGGAAACGCCATGGCTTCTGAGGCCCTTGAAAACCGTGGCCGCTGGCGCGGAGCCCTACAAAGACTCAGGATCGATCCGCCCTGTCAAAATATAGCAGCATTTTCTACTTTCTCTTTGGGCGGAAAATTGTATATAAATGTCCATTGCTCCCAGTTCTTCCGTGTCTGTGTACCTGGATGACTCTGCTGGCAGAGACGAACATGACCAACCATCAACGGCACAGTTCGTGGAGAGAAAAGCGCCGAGCGCGGGGTCGGGAATACGACGCAAAGAAAAAAAAGCCAAGGCCGATCGGGAAAGATATCGCAGATGTAGATTCGCCGTCTTCAAGAAGGCAAACAGCCTGCTCCAGGATGGTCGCGAGATTGGGCATGACCGCCGGGTTTATGTCTGTGTCTTCGAGAAGGGCAAAGGTCGTAACGCCCAGGGAAAATATTTCACGTACAACTCCCACCCTGATGAGTGCTGGCCACCTGCAAAGGAAGAAGTGGTGAGTGACAAACCCCCGACATAATTAGTTGAGTCTAATGAAGATGACAGGACGAACACTACCCACTTACTGAACGTTTCACTCCAAAGGATTTTCAAAATGCAGAGAAGGCAAATAAAGTGGACAGGGCTAAATTCCACCGTCCCTCCTTCAAAGTGTCCCGGCCCCCGCTCCTGGCACCAATCGTTGGGACTCAGACAACCATCCTAGACGGGGAAACACGACACCCGTCAGCAGGGAATAACGGCGAGGAAACACCATCCATCAATTCTGCAGAAAGGAGCGCGTGCGAGGTTTTCATGCCTGAGGCTGTGCGATACTAACTTCGAACTTAATATTTGGTTATTTACTTCTCTCCTTTATCTGTATCTAGCATTTATTTCTGGCATGAATTAATACTACTCTGTTAGACGTACTCGACCAAAAGGCAAAAAAACGATGGCATTTGCCCTTGGGAGCTTCAGGCCCTGGAAGTCCTAGGCATCGTAATAGAACAGGGAATTGTATTGGCCCAGCAGCAACTAGTCCTCAGCATAACGTAGAGGTGCCTGTCCACGCCTGCCTGGCAATGACACCGGCCCAAATGCGGAAAATTATTTCGGCTCTTATTCGTCGAGATTCTTGACAGGTCTCCTAGGCGGACCCAAAGACGGCCATGATACTAAATATCACTCCAAGGATGCACTAGAGGAATGCATGACAGCGTCAGTTGATCGCCTTTAACTGGTGAAGGTTAATAATGTTAACAACTCTGATCAAAACAAGAATGCCGCCTGCAGCAATAGCATAAATGCTTATAATTTCCATGGCTTGGGTGTAGGAGGCATCAAGGTAATCTCTAATGAATATAATATTGCTTGTGGATACTGATAGCTTTGCCCTGCTTCTACTTATTTACTTAGTTATTTATCCTACAATCTTGTTTCTTTTGAAATGTATGTGCTGTATAGTACCATTTCTCAAGTCTCGATTGATCAAGAATACCATTCCTAACCCGCTACTAGAATCCAGATATGTCAGGACACAACACCAACACTGTTACATTATCTACTAGCAGTCTGGACGCCGGGCACCTGACTGCATTCAAAACGGCCCTCTCCAATATCCTCCGAAAATACATACGCGCAGATAATCGATGGTCTTCCTGTAGCAGAGACCTGGTACGCGTACACGGACAATAGGCGGCATGACCCGATCGCCAAGCATGAGCAGCTCTGTCCTGGGCCCTTAGAAGCCGTCAAGGCTTTTCGAGAGGACTTCGATATTAATGTCCTTGAGTTGAT